GGAAATTATATTGATATTTTTACTGGAAACTGGGCAGCTACTTAAACTGACTAACACAAAAACCTTAAACACCTTCAGAAAGATCACTTTGACTCTGATAAATTATTGATTGATCATTTAAATCAGCGAGCCTTGTGTAAGAGGTTTATTCGAACCGTCGAGCAGCAACGCAGCTTTTCTCCTCGAGTCTCTTTTCAGCCTCTAATCTCATCACCGCCGCTTTCCTGACCTCCCTCTCGTCCTCTTTTAGTCCCACCGGGATTAAAAGGGTTAAAAGCTCCGAGAGAGCCCACTGTTTACTACCACTGACTGTACACACACACAAATACACACACACACACACATACACACACACATACTGTCGAATAAAGGCAGAACAATGTTCTTCATCAAGAACCTGGAAGTGAAACTGGAATAATGCTTATTTAACAGAAAACACGATGAGAGGGACTCGACTGTTTCCTCCATACGAGCCGCTATTCAACCAGCAACTATCTTTAACTTAAATACATATTATAATTTTATTAAAACTCTCATAATCGACTGCATCTTTATCCACTTGTGAGTCAAACTCTTGTGTCCTTTTCTTCTGGACTTTAATTAGACTTTAATGTCTGAACCTAAAAATATTAAAATTATCAAAAATATAATCGTCTCTCTTCCTTTTAGACAAATATGGCAAATTATCTGTTTTATTCCATGTTGAATTATTCATTTTTAATTGATTCTTCTTGTTATTGTTGCTTTTTCTGTTGTTGTTGTTGTTGTTGTTGTTGTTGTTGTTGTTGCAGGTGGTTGTGGGACGTTGGCCATTGTTGTTTGTTTCCCTGTCATTGCTGCAAAAGTTTAATAAAAATATATATTAAATCATTTTTTCTTTAATTCTGTGAACCAACTAACTATTTTAATCTGTGAGGCTCCAGTTTGTCACATTTATGAGGATCTATTGTCAGAAATATAATATAATATTAATAGAAATGTTTTCATTAGTTTATAATTTATAATTCGTTGTCTTTACCTTAGAATGAGACGTTTTTGTTTTTTTGCCCTCTGTGGAGGCCGACATGATTCTACAGTAGCCCAGAATGGACAAACCAAACACACTAGAGAGAGCCTCAAGTTGTTCATGGCCACCGTAGTTTCTCCTTCACGATTCACAGCTAGTTCGGTCGTCAAACACAGACGTGAGTAGTGTTCAGTTAGTTGCAATCTGCAGCGTCGCCACTAGATGGCACTAAATCCTTCACACTGGTCCTTTAAAAGTCCAAATTGACTTGTTTTTGCAACTAAATAAACAGTCTACATTTAAAATAAGGTTTATTGTTTCCACCAAACAACCGTCATCTACTTATTTTAATCTTTAAATCTCTCTTGTCCTTTTTTTGATCCTCGTCCAAACCACTTAATCTCCTTTATTTAAACAACAAAGTATTTTTATCGACAAAACATTCGAGTAAATCGGAATTAATGTCTTATTTTTTTAAAGTAACAATTCGTTCAGATATAAAAAGTGATAAATAAAATATAATACGTAAAATGCTTCAAACCCTCAGCTCTCTCTCCTCTCAGTTACAAATAAAACCTCGACTATTTTAGTCTTAAAAACACTGACACCGAGTCCTGATCCCTGTCCTCAAATAAAAACAGCGGAGGCCTGACACGCCCTCTCGCCTCGCGTGCCGCCACCGTCCCGTGCTCGCTCTCCTTGCTCTCCGGCAGCGGCAGCGTTGGTTTCAAGGCCTGAATGTTTGCCAGCTATCAGCTCTCGGCTCAGGAGGGCAGAAGACAAGCTGATTAAGCGGCAGGATTTTCGAGCGGCTCAGAGAAGCTATTCCCAGCCTCAACTGAGGCAGATTAAACCCTCTGGAGCTGCCTGCTGCTCTCTGGTCGGCGGGCGGGACGACGCTCTGATTCATTATCGCAGCATTCACTCGATTACGTGACTCAGCTCTCTGGAAGCTGACCCGGGATGTTAGCATTTATTTAATGGAGGGTGGATAAGTTTCCCGTCAGCCTCCTAGTGGTGATTATAAGAAGGACCAGACCAGAAGAATCAGTCTCAGTTTCAAATGCTATAAACCATAAAGTGATACTGTATTGCATTCACAACTCAGCTTATTATAATAAAAGAGTATCAAAAGCAGATATTTAAAGAGTCTAATAATTGATGATTTTTGTATGATATAGAAATTAATTTAACCAATGGATGTCTGGAATGGTAGAAAAAGACAAAAAACTGATATGTAATTGACCTAAATGTACTTATACTACATTACATAAATATAATATCTTTAAAAATAGTTACATTAAGCGTCTTACTTACATTATCTTCAGTTAAGTCATCGGTTTGGTATTTTATCTGACTAAATATTAAGTAACTCAGCTGCTATTGCTTTGTAAAAGACTGATCAATTAGAGATTTAGACGTGTATCATTGATATTAAACACATAAATAGAAATTATTTAGGTACTACGTTGATTTAATGAAGAATTATTAGATTCTTTTTGGCCACTTGGGGGCAGCAAAACAAGCTGTAAACAAAATATTGACGTATTATCATCTTACAAACTGTTGCTCATTTATACGTCGAGTTATGGAGGAACATTAGTCCAATATTGACTCTTTTAGCTCGTTTGAGGGAAATATCTGTCTGTAGATGCTATCGGTTGGTGCAGGGCAATTAGCGTCCAATGAAGTTAGCGGTTTTTTCACCAAAATGAAAGCTGATGAGAGCGCTCAGACTGAACCAAAACAGTAAAGATGTGGAGCCTGAAACCAAAAGGCTCCGTAGAGCTGAGAGGAACTGTGACACCTTTCACATCACACCATCATTTGACTCATTGACACCATAAAAATACTGATTTAAGCTTAACTTTAACTGGTCATTAACCAAAGTATCTCCAACTCAATCTCATGAAGAATGAAGAAATATTTGCTGTTATGTTTGAAGTCCTGACCCGCCATTAACTTTCCCCAATCTGAATCATCTGTAAAGATTCACAGCTGTTAACGTTCTCTCTCTCTTAACAAGAAGAAGATGAATTGTGAGGCTGCAGGTTTAATCACAGCGACGTCCAACCTCCCTCGTCAGGGAGCGTTACTCACTTCCTCCACCCACACTCACTCCCCGCTGATCTGGGAATACGAACCAGAAAAGACACCCAAACAGTCATTTCTCCGATTCAACAACTTCCAGTTTCCATCGTCTTATCATCTGTAATCTTCCCTTGTTACTCCAAAACCATCAAACCACACATCATTTACTGCTTTTTATACATCTGTCTAGTTGATTGTGAGCCTCAGTGGTGAATATATTAGGGATATATTGATGGTATAAACAGAAACTCAGCTGATCTTTGGCCTGGCCCAGAAGTGGAAAATTGGCAGTTCCCACTCAGCCACTCGGTCAATCACACTCAGAGGCAACAACCTGTCCAACGCAGCAGGACTTAAAACAACCACAGTGCTTTTTATAACCCCACAGTAAGCCCGGGATTAAACCTTTAACCAGCCCATAACGTTTCCCCCGACGGCCGCCACTCCACCAGCAGCCTCTAAATGCAGCAGAAGGCTTTGACTAATAACAGCAGTCAGGTGTTACAGCACTGAAATAAACAGCGTTGATTCAGTGAGATATGATCAGAGCAAAAATGTGTCACTCGCAGGGAAAATGTCAAAATGAATCAGATTTTAAAGCCCTGCACGTTAAGACACAGTGTTTCTAGTAAAGGGTTCGGGGAAGAAACAGGCCCTTAAAAGATGAATGAGAACACCCAGAGTCCAAATTAAATACGGCTGTAATGATTTTTCCGGTGCTCCGGATGCCTCCTCTCAGAGAGAGAGAGGGAGAGAGGGGGAATGGGAAAACTCAGCAGTCAGGTTTAAAGGTGGCGGTGACTGAGTGGAAGTCTGGAGGAGGAGGAGGAGGAGGAGGAAGAAGCTCCTCGGTGTCTCCTGCAGCCATTTTTTGTATGTCTTTTTATGGTGCTGAGCCTCCACAGAGAGATTGTGACTGCAGGGACAGAAAACACGTCAGAGTGTGAAGAGACATCAGGAACAAGAAGACGGTTTAATACGAAGACGGGGAGAGAGATCATCTCTGAGGTTTCAGCTAAAGAATAAAGCAAACGGGTGCAAAAACCTGCAGTTCCTCTAACGGCCACTAGAGGCTGGCTCCAGCAGTGAGTCAACCTCCATAAGGCCCCATATTAAAATGCTGTTTAAAGCTTTTGGTCTCTAGAGTGAATTTAACTGTATGGAGGGTGAATTTAAATTATACTAAGGCTTAAAGTTATACATAATGAAAGGTAAAGATTAGCCGGGACCAGGCGGAGTCAGGACGACCAGATCCGAGCTTCACAACGGCTCTTCAGAAACACGAATGTCCTACAATCTGGGATCTTAACTGGATACAGTCTTTACTCTTTTTGTGTGTTTCTGTTCATACCGACTGTATTTATTGTTTTATATCGTTTTCTGTTTCCTTTCTGGCCAGGTCTGTCTGACTTTAAACCTCGTTAAATACAGGAGAAAGAACGAAAAGTAGACTGTAAGAGTTAGATAGGAAGACTGATACCCATTAATTCATTCTTCACCTTGGAAACAATCACAACTCAAGGTCAATTTACTATCTTTTTCCAGAGCTTTCAACCGTATTAGTTCAGCTGTCATGTAGATTGACCACAGTCGCACTTTTAGGACTTTTTAATCTGCGTTCACATAGAAAAAGAACAACTAGTAAGTGGACCTTGAGTTTATTGAAGTACTGTTACCAAAAATATTGGAGTCATACTAAAGTTTTTAGCCACAAAAGGCCCGAAACTGAGCAGGTTACTAAACAAACTTAATCTCTCAATTAAAAAGTAATTTGTTGTATTTTTTTCTTTTTAACAAACTCTCTAATTGTTGATTGATCTGCTTGATGATCAATGTCACGTTATCAGCTCGTATTATACTGACTTTGGCTTTCTGTGGTACACCAGAATAAAGAGAAACAAAGATCTTTTCACACATTTATTGTATTATTTGAATACAAAAGTACAAAATAAAACAATTTCTTCCCCCAACAAATGAAAACATTGATCCAGAGTGATTTTCAGAAAAGGGGGAGGCATCTTATTAATCATGAAAAAAGTCTATAGAGTGTATTTTTCTCGTATTACATCACCGTCGACTTGATTTCCACTCTTGCTTGATGCAAGCAACCAACCGGCGCCAAGTGACAGGGGCTCAAAAATTATGTAACACAAGGCTGTAAATCCTCTTGGTGCTGCAGTGCCAACCGGGACCTGGAGGAACCTGGTACCCCTCCGCTGGATTATCACGGTCTTATTAATGTACACGGAGAATAACTGCTGGAGCGCGCCAAACCGTACAGATTATAGACTACTGTTGGGACTCAAGAGGTTCTTGGTTTGGTGGCGAAGGTGAGGTACCCTGTGTGACCTGGGATTTCTCTGGGTGGGACGGTGGCCTTCATGGCGACGGTGTCCTGTATCGGAGCAGAGGCGGGGGCTGTTTTCTCCGCGGCGTCGGGCTCCGTTTGAGCGGAGGGGTCGCTGCCAAAGTCGGGCACCGGCAGGGAGATGGTTCGCACGTCGTGGACTCTCAGCAGGACCTCGATGGTGCTGATCTCCTCGAAGCCCTGGTCCGCCAGAGCCTCGCACGTCCTCTGAACCTGCTCGATGCACGGGGAGAACGAACACACCCGACCTCCTGGAGACAGAGAGAGAGAGAACAGTTAGCGTCTTGTTCCTCCTCGGTAACAACAAACTCTTCTTTCTTTAATGTCGGTCTGTTCGTCTACCACGTTAGACTGAAATATCCCAACAGCTAATGTATAGATTGTCCAGACCTTCATGGTCCCCAGAGGTTGAATCATACAGACTCTGATGATCCTCTGACTTTTCCTCTAGCGCCACTAACAGGTCAAAGTTTGACTTGTACTGGGACAAAATCCGACATTCATGGTCCCCAGATGATGTATCCTAAAGGCTGAAGTCTTATTCTAAGGTTGAATTAGACAGACTTTGCTGATCCTCTTACGCCACCATAAGGGAGGGGAACTGTTAAGGTTTTACTGATGCTCACTGCCATTATCGATCAGATTCTTTATGGATTCCTTTATTGATTCGTGTGACCTACACAAGGGTTTTATAATCTAATCTGACCACAGTGTAGAAACACTAGAGTGGTAGAAGCATGTAGCATGAGAGCTAACTATAGCAACTAGTCTTTCATCCTCTGAAATGGATTAAATGAGACAAATTTTGCACAGCATTTGTTTTCTATTTAGGCTGTCTCAGCTATAAACCTGCCTGTGTGGAACTAATGTTATTATAACATCAGAATCTGGAAATGATTCTCAACTGGAACCAGTTCTCGATTCCTATCCCTAACCACCATGCCCTGAAGTTAGTACATATTATAATACACTCACTCAAATTGTGTTGAAAACAACTGATATGTACTCTAGATGTCAACAAAACATTCAGTTTTCATTCAAATAGATTAGAAACTTGAAAGAAAATCAGTGTTTACTTTTTTCAGTTTTGCCAAGTTTAATTTTAGATGAGTTCATGAACCAGTAAGTAAAAGATTGAAACCCAAATGAAAAGCAACTTGGAAGTCCTATTTCAGCTAATGCGAACATGCAAACCGATGTTTGGTGAACTGTGTGCAGAGCAAAGTTGGACTGCTGTCTTTTTACCTACAGTTTATTAACCATCTGCAATTATTTAGCAATCCAACACTACCTCGAAATACCCATAAACTATAACTATTATTGATTTATGTTCCTTTGCAGCCCTGAGATAACCAAAGGTAGCGAAGATTGGATGGATCCTTTAGACAACAGCTGGTCTGTCAGTCCCAGGTGAGTTTTGAGTCCTTAAGTAGCTTTATAAACCCCTTACCCTGAGAGGATGCGCATGCAACCCCCCCTATTTAATTGGCCTACCTTGTTTCTGACCTCATTTTGGACATCCCAACTGTTTTCTTGGCAGATATCTTGTCGTGTGAAAAGGCGCAAACAAGCTGAATTTGGTACAGTGATGAAGTTCTACTGGGTTATGTGAGATGGTTAAATGCCAATGGGCTTATTGATGAATTAATAACGTCAGCAGAAACACTGCTACTGCCTGAAGGAGACGAGTGCTCTATTATGTTAAAAAAAAACTTGGTCTTTTGGGACGATCTGAGAGCATCAAAGATCTGAACCATATTTAGAGTCACGTACAGCAGCAGGAGGGCGGAGAGAGTCAGTAACAGTTGTAATTTACTTTTAAAAGATCAACACAAGATCACTGCAGATCCACTTAACGCGGGATCTCTGTTCACCTCATTCTCCACACCAACGCACAGCGAGGAGGACTCGTCGTGCTCAGACCAGGAGGAAGATTTCACAATTTAACATCCTTTCATGGTTATTATGGCCAAGACACACATGATTGCGCTTCTGGGGCAAATCAAACCTTCCTCAAAGCACCAAACATCTTTAAAAAGTGTACTCAGAGAGCAACCATGGAGAAAGATAAATAATCTAAACCAGATTCATAAACTTAATACGGACTCAGGAGAAATTTAGACTCACTCCAGGGAAACCCATGATACCATTACTGCTATTAATAATTAGTTTATCTTACACCCAAAAGCATGTTTTTCTTCCCTAACAAAGCAGACCTGTGACCTGTCGGGCTCCAGGCTGTAGTTTGTGGATCATCAGGGGATGAGCCGGCGCTCTAATAAAACAGAGATCACCTACCGGCTCCGGCATCTCAACTTTAAATGAAACCCCGCGGTGATCGCAGCGGGAGGCCGGAGCAACGAGCCAAGGAAACTTTCACCGGCTGACCTGAAGAATGTGAAAGCTGGAGACGGGAGGGGTTAGCGTTAACCTAATTTAAATGAATGAACATAATTGAAAAAAGGGATTGTTTTGTCTTGGGGTCGATTTTGCTGTTAGAGAACTTACTTAAAGTGTTTTTACCAGTGTTTAGATATTGTGTGCAGTGTAGTGGATTATAAATAATGATAATGTTAAGTTAAACCTTCATCAACAGATTGTTTGAAGACAAGTTGTGAACACAATCAGTTGCTTATTCACACAGCAGCAGTTACAGAGAGACATTATTAAGTCAGGTTTGTGTCCAAGTTCAATATTTACTCTTTCACCTCTGTTTTTAGTCTCCACCAACTCCTGTGTGTGTCTACTGTTTGCTGTTGTTGTAAAACTCACTATAAAGCCGAGAGAAGCTGCAGATTCAGGTGATAATTGTCAGTAGGTACGTCATATAAATGACTCCTTTCAGATGTTTTAGTCTCGACCAACAGACACCAACAAAGAACACATACAACCTAAAGCAGACTACCTTGAGGTACATATTATATATGTTTGCAGTCTATCTACATAATATTGTCGTTCTGTTTCTTCATATTTTACTGTACAGATTGTGACTTATGTGGGATTTCAGAAGCAAACATTATATTTTCAGGTGCACTCCAGATTTCAAAGTAGTCTCTAAAGAAAGCCCCAGTTTGTATTCCAGTGTCCCCGTTCAACAGTAAACTCCATTATCCTTCCCCTCCTTGGTTTTGTTTCTCCCTCTCGAGCTTCAGAGGGTCACAGAAACACATCTGTGTAACAATCTGCCCATTTAATCTTACTTAACTTAATCTGCGGCCGCTGGCTGCACTGATAATGGGAGACTGAAACTGATGCCTGCGACTCAAACTTCAAACTCTTGTCAGTCAACAACGCGTAACGCCGTGTTACTCGCTGAAAGAAAGAGCAGGTCTGTAGAAGGCAGGCTCGCTGAAGAGTCCATTGTGTCTGATTAACATTACAGGAGACTTTCTGGGGATGTTTCAGATAGCAGGCGTTCCTTCGGCCAACAGCAGCAGTGTTCTCCCTCGAGACAGCCATAAACACAAGTCAATGGTCTCCTAGCAACCGGGACGAACACAACAGGGAGCGGTCGGGTTGATGATTATACAACGGGGGCGACTCGAGCTGTTATTAATAGCCCCGAGTATCAGCCGTACGTCCACAGCTAGGATCCATACATGCGTGAAACTGTGAGTCCTTATCGGGGTCTTGAGTGTTTGCGTTCATGGGAGATGTTTGCTTTATGGTTGCATAATAAAGAGGAAGGAGGGAGGAGGGAGGAGGAGGAGGAGGGGGTTTAGGTCTGTCCGGATCCAGGTCCTTCTCAGAGAGCAGCTAAATAGAGGGCCGGGCTGCGGGCCAAAACATTAGAAGAATTACAACTTGGAGGAAAAAAGAAAAAAAGAGATATTTCACTACCCCCTCGTCTCTTACACTCTGCAACTTTATCTTGAGCCTGAGAACAGATCTGGAGTCAGTCTGTGCAGGAAAAGGGACGACAAGGTGATGAATCCTGGCTGTGGGCGATACGTCTTCCCTCACAGAAACAGAAACACACAAAAAGAAAAACCCCTCTAGCTTCCCATCATGTTCCCCAGGTGAATTGTGTGAACGTTTCTATCTCACGGCAGCATTTTGGGGGGTTCTGGAGCTCGGCTCGGCTCCGGCTCCGGCTCTCTGGAGAAAAAAACATCCAGTGTGAGCGGTGGGAAGTAAATCAAAAAACCTTTCCTTATGGAGCCACATTCACCAGCTCTCTCCCTGCAGCATAACCCTGTATGGTCATGGGACTGCTTCTATAATGGCTGCACTCTATTTATCTGTATCTGTCTGTGTGTGTGTGTGTGTGTGTGTGTGTGTGTGTGTGTGTGTGTGTGTGTGTGTGTGTGTGTGTGAGAGAGAGCGAGGAAAGTCAACAGCTCACGAAAGGAATATGTAGCAGTGGCACCATAAAAGGGATTCAGAGAGGAGGAGAGAGAGAGCAGCATCCTCGCTCCTCCTGCATTCCTCTTCATATTGGGGCTTATGTTTTTTAAAATCACGCTGCGTTTATGTGCCTCAGGAATATCTGCGTGCACTCTTTCAGACTAATGAACACACAGATCCTTTGCATCTCAACAGTGTTTTTCGTGGAGGCAATAAATCGATTTGAGTAGAAAGATTTTAGTGCTTCAGCATTGAGGGCGTTTCCTTCAACTGAACAGTAAAACACTGAATTCCCTCAGGGTAAACTCATGGTGTCACAAATCAGACACACCGGATTGTTATTGGCACCAATATTAAGCTTTTACAGTTTATACTTTATAGATTTTAAATTTGGGAGCTTTGGTACTGGGTTGGTACTACTGGGAGAGAACAGTTCATTGGTGCCTCGTTAACAGTGGTAAACGTTGACTGGGACAGAAAGGAAGACCACAAAGTGTCCGGATGAGGCTTAAGGAGATTAAAACCCACTGACTCTTCTATGCAAGGTTTCTTCTCTACACTGTTTAACCAACACTTTAGTGTATAAAGAGTTCACTAAACCTCAGTACGCATGTCCACCAAGCTTCAGTACAGAGGTAAAAAACATGGAAAATAACTGACTGCTCACTGTTCACCTTTCCTCTATTCTCTCTCAGTCACTGCACACACACCTTATGGACTGCTCTATGGTCTTAAATAAGTTATTAGGAGGCATGTTAGGAACCTAGCTAGTGAGGGTATAGCCATTATAAATGTTATTAAAGGTCCAGTGTGTAACATTGAGGAGGATCTACTGGCAGAAATGAATTATAATATTCATTGGTATGTTTCCATCAGTGTATAATCACCTGAAAATAAGAATCGTTGTGTGTTTGTTAGCTTAGAGTGAGCGGTTTTTATCTACTATATGTTTTTGTCCTTCACCATTCGAGCAAAAACACAACTCTCTCAATATATAGTCATACCTCTTGTATATCAGGTTATATACTGTATGCATTAGTGGCAGCACGATGGACATTAGTCACATCACGAGTGTACTTTTCGGTTATTAAATAGAGCGTGTCTAATCTCAACTCCAGATCTCGGTCCCTCAAATACCTGCAAACAGCCGCTGACAGTGAAAGGTTAATGAGAGAGAGGAAGGATGCTGCTACGTGCTCTCCCTCCAGCACATCAGATACACCTTCACTTCTCAAACACTGATCGCCTCAGTGAGCTGCCAACCTGTCCGGGCATGCTGCTGGTTCCCTGGTTGTCACAGACACCACCCCTCAACAAAGCTTTCTGCCTCAATGGCTGAGTTTACTCTGTGACCAGGAGCAAACACATTCACACACACACACACACACACACACACACGGACAGAGTTAATTAGAGCGGTGTTGGCGAGGATCGATGGTCGTGCTGGGAGAGCTGGGCGAGGCGAGGCGGCCCGTGGGGGGGGGGAGGGGGAAATTCACTGGTTGGTATTTTAAAGTGTGCTCAGTCACAGTCATGTTCCTGCTGTGTCTCAGAAAAGTCAACATCAGGTGATGGTGAGTGTTTCTTTAAGTCCACGCCACACACACACACACACACACACACACACACACACACACACACACACACACACACACACACACACACTGTTTTAATATTCTGTACTCAACAGGACACTTCAGTGACCTCCAGTCACTCATTTACCCTGTAGTTGGGTTTATGTAATGCGAGTATTGAGCCTAAAATGGGAAATTAGGTCACATTTTGGCCTTAATTAGATTAGAGTTTAAAGTTAAAATAAATATTCAGGTCAGACGTGAGCAGCGATGTGCTGAGTTATAACAGATGATTTATATCACTGTTCATCTACAACCAGACCTGGTTTAACATCCTGGTGATGTTTTCTATGGGATAATAACAAGCAAGTGGATAATGTCATAAACGTTCCTCAGAAAGGGCTGAAAAGGAAGTCCAAAGTCCAAAATGGGAACGTTTTAAATCAATATGACTTAACTAGTTAGAAATGTTACACCCTGTATGAGATATGCTGCTTTCACCGTACATTTGTCAATCAAATATCTTTGGTTTTTGGACTGAAGTGAGGCTGCAACTAACTATGAAATTGATCCATTATTTGGTTGGGCCCAAATTAACAAGATATTTAGTTAATGATCACATAAAATAAAGTAAAGCAGCAAATTCTCACATTTAAGAAGCTGTAGACATCAAAATATCCAACGTTTGCCTTTTTTTTTTGACCCTATTTTGGATTCAAAACAGCAATTTTCATCAAAAAGTGACACGTTTTTATCCCCTCATCTTTATAAAAACACACTCAGGAAATCAGTGAGAGCTTGAAGGACGCCATTGTTCGAGTACTAAGATCTCTCTCAGACACACGCTGTGGTGTCTTACCGTGTTTCTTCATGGCTGCCTTGGCGTGTCTCACTGCCTCCCAGGGGCTGGGGATGTCCAGGAAGACGGCGTCTGCCACCCCGGTCACTCCGAACCCGTCCTTGCACACGTCCTGGTTCCTGACGGTGACCAGATGATCCACGCGGTGCTCCTTGAACTCCTCGGCCACCTTCTCCGCCCGCTGCTGGTGGAACTCCACCGTGTGCAGGTGACCTGTGGGCGCGATGGTGCGCAGGATGGCGTGGGAGAGAGAGCCGCTGCCGGTCCCTACAACACAGACGCCACAGAGACGGATGAGAACAGCAGGGACTCCAAAAGCATCATGGGAAAGTCCATTAAAGCATGCTGTAATCACTTCCTAATGGAGAAAAAGGTATTCACCAGTTAATATGAGGCTGCAGTAATCTGAGTTCATCAGATCAAGCTGGTATCGTCCAAAGTTACAGTGTTTTAGTTTGAAATTCCTCTTTTTTTTTTTCTTACTGCAGCTCAACAGGGAAACACAAAGTTACAAAGATTGCAACTGTGGAAGATAAACACTTTATTTGTCTCACTCAGACTGCTGAAACCTCACATTAACTTCACATAAACAGGTATTATATATTGTATGTTTTGCACTGTGTTGATTTTGTTGATCTCTTAATGTCCAGTATGAAGTGGAGGAATGATTACAGTAAGCAAAAAACCCTGCTTCAGTCTCCCAGGAACATGTATATATATTGTGTGTTTACTCTCTCCATACACAGGCTGTGGGTCTCTGCTGCTTTGTTGTTCAGCAGCAAGTTTTTATAAAGTCGATCAAGAAACACAACTCATGTTTTGGGTATTTTCACAGCAGCAGGTGAACTCCTTAATGGCGTCGCATATTGAAAATAAAATCGATGATTTACCTGCTCAGTGCTTGTAAAACATCCAGCAGATAATCTCTCTCTCTCTCTCTACTAAATGCTTAATGAGTCAGGGACTGTTAATAAGCTGGACGGCACACCCAAGTACATCTATGTTAGTCAAAGACTGAATAACCTTCCTGTGCAATAAAATAAAGGCAACAGTTGAACGTTGTTTATACAGATCACACAAATCAGAGTTAATACGATCTGATTACGAACAATCGGACCTCCCATACAACGCTCGACACGCAGACTTTGCTCACATTATCAGGTCTTCACACCAGATAAAGAACAAAAAAAGGCCCAATTGTAACTCAACACTTTCTTTTCCAAGTAAAGTTTGGAACATAAAGCCGTGTAATCTCAGAAAACCTCAAACTTGTGTCTTGTTTTGTCTCAGAAATGACGTTTAAAGCTTCCCTCTACTCTGATTTAGTCTAAACAGAGAGCTCACAGCTGTTACTACAACACACACCCCCACATCTCTCTCTCTCTTTCTCTCTCTCCCCCTCTCCCCGGCTGATAAGTGGATGCTACATTTCTGAGTGGGCCCTCTTTGCCCTGCAGTGCCCTGGGTTGGTCCTTAATGCCCGCTAATATGCCGTTTTGCTAAAGAGGGATGTGTGAGTGTGTGATTTCACAAGAAAGGAAATAACACCGGTCATGTGACTTGCAGTTAAGACAAGGGGTGGAGGGAATGAAACATGGAGAACACTAGCTAGATCCCCATCATCCAACCCTCTTCGTCGTCTTCTTCTTCTCCTGACATTACGTCACCGCCTGCCTTTGTTCGTGCGGCGACAAAGAGGCCTATGTTTACCCCTTTAGCAGCGCTTTGACTTGCTAAAAACCTCGCACTGCTGAGCCGGATGGTGTGTGGCTGGAAACAACAGTAAATGGAGAAACTGTGAATGAATGTAAAACGGCAATAATGAGGACACGCAGACGTAAATAGGCAGATTTAAGACTAACTGTGCCGACTGCCTGTTCGTTCACCGGACTGGAAGTTCTCAGTGACTCTATGAAAAATATAAACGATGTATGATGTGATGTGATGCAACACAAAAGTCCTGAAATGAATACGAAGGTTTTCAGTGTTTGAAGCGATGTGGATTCAGTTCTGTGGCAATGGCTGAGTTTGTGTATTGTTGTAGTATTCAAACTGCATTGTTATCTACTTTAAGGAGGTTATGTTTTCTTTTAGTAAGCTGGATCACAAAGAAACTGTTCACTGAACTCTGGTGGAAAGTTGGACCAGAAACAAACAGATCTGTAGATTGGGAGCAATTCCTTGGCTTATAATGAGTACAGGACACAAACATTTAACTTTTTCACTAAATTGGTCCAATCTTTACCAAATTTAGTATATATAAAAAAAAAAAAAAACACCATACCAAAGTAGTAGACAGCTGCTGTTGCTGGTGTAGCAATAGGTACGGTGGACAGTGAGGGTCATATTATTCTCAGCCAGTACATATAAAAACACACAATGATGTACACCTGGTCCCAATTTACCGGCATTTGTCGCTTGGTGGATGTTAATTTTAGACCCTGCGATGTGTTCAAAGCTCTAACTAATAACTATTTTCACTACAAATGCATCCGTCAATTACTATAGATTACTCAATTAATTGTAAAATATCAGGAAATAGTGGCGAATGGCTGGTGTACCAGAGTCTTGATGTCTTGAAATGTCGTATTATGTCTGATCAACACTCAATAATGAAAATATTACATACAATATACATTAAACTTTTAAAGAAAACACACAAAAAGCAGCAAATCTTCACACCCGAGAAGCTGGAACCAGGTAGTGGATGAGTTTTTAATTGTTAAACGGTTTAAAAGATTAACTGAAATCTCAACAACAAGCACGATTTGATCTCGTCTATATGTGGCGCTATAGCAACATAATATTTCCATACGATCCATTAGACCCACTCTAGAAACTACAGCCTCACACTGTAACAGCTATACAGGGCGAACACATCGATCCTCATCTGTAGAAGAGACTTTCTGCTGGGAGGAAACGGCTGCGCTGCTCCAGCAGAGCTCTGTCTGAGCGATGGGTGAGCCCAACGCTGTCTGAACTAGATCCGCATAAACAGACGATCAATCAGCACAGAACCAACTCTGGACCTCAGGCTTCATGCCAGCGTGCTGACGGGTTCAGTTTCCATCCTGGTTATCCTGTTGTACAGGAAGTCCACCGGAAATACGCTCAACATCGGAGGTTTGTGTGTAAAATAATGTCAGAGATTTGTAAATACAAAATGAAATGTGATTTTAGAGAACAAATCTTTAGCCTTTGTTCTAAAAATGGGATTTTTTCCGATCTGCTGAGGCAACTGAGTGCATTTCCCACCAAAAAGAGTGGAAACTGGGAAAAGGGCTAATTTAATTTAAAAAAAAGAGATCTGGAGCTTTAACTGTGTTTGTATCCAAAGACAAATTATTATATTGAAAACATGAGGCAGTCCGTCCTAACGCCAAACAACAACTTCTCTCTAAACCACGACTGCTTATCATCTGTTTGCACTTCCAGCCTGAAACACAGTTTACTTCAGGTTACAGATGACAACACATTACTCAATATCAGTTATTAGTTCCACAAAGTCCCTCTCTGAACAACAGCTGTCTGAAGTCAACGCGTCAGCTGTGTGGAATCAGTTAAACTTGGAGAAGAATCATGAGAAGGACAATGATGAAGTTGTTCTTGCAAGAAGCGCCAAGAACACAAGCGATGGGAAAAAAAACAAACAAGAAGACATAAACTGCTCGAAGCAAAGACGAAGCATGAAAGCACACAGGAACAAAACCAAGAGAGACAATGGTGACAAACTCTTTCCAAAGTTAAAAATGTGAGGCTGAGTCATTTTTTGTGAATCAGTATTGGAATTTGGGCGTTTTGACTTTTTAGAAACATGCTCGACACAGTGAATATTAACAGCTTCTAAACTAGCTATTAAAGAGGAAATACGGATGGAGACATGCTTGAACTAGTGGACAAAAAATCTAAAGTTTGACCAGATGATGATTAGTATTCATCATCTGGGGACCAAGAGTGTCTTCACATAGCTTCATGGCAATCCATCCAATAGTTGTTGAGATATATTTCAGTCCATGTGATCAACCCACCTCGCCCTATCGCTAGCACTGCTAAACAGAAAGCACTGTATTAGTATCAGTATGGTCTGACACGGCTGTTTCACAAAGAGGAAACAGAACTTTCTTTGACCCCAAAGACGTGTCAATATTTGGAGGTGGTTTGTAGAGAGCTGGTGGCCACATTAACCAGCAGCTGTTTATTAAAGATAGAAACACACTGAACTCTCACTGCAGTTTTCATGTAGGTGTACTGAGGAGCGTTCGCTGAGCGCATTACACAAATGATGATGATGATGATGAAGAATCGCCCTTTAATGAGAGCTTTGCTTTGATGCAAATGGTCGAGGCAAACCCGTGACTCATATCAACGTCTCTAATCTGCTCACAGAACAAGAGGGAGTCAGTGGGGGTGGAGGACGGCTGACCTGAACTGTAGGTCATCCCTGCTTTCTGTTCTCCATTTAATATCAAATAACAGTAACAGTTAACGTCCTCCCGTCATTAACACTGTCTCTGTAGATCTGAGCAAAGCACTCAACCTCTTAAGTGTTGTAGTGAGTCAGCTCGAAGGCCAACTGTAGGTTGTTGTTGGTCTTGAGAGTGACTCTGCAGCAATAAAGGAAGGTTTGATTCCTTCAGAGTTAGTCTATCACATCAGCAGTGGATGAGACATCCGACCCACCACTGACCCAATATGCTGGTAATTTTATATATTAAAGTAAACGGGCTGCAACTAATCAGTTCTGAACACGTCAAACAATTTCTGTCCTTTTAGCCCTTTCAGATCAATTTCTAAAAGCAGAAAGTTTTCTCCGAGCAGTTTTTCTTTATTTCTTCGGGTTAATATTCACATAAAAGGCAAAAGAGTAATCAGACACTTGAGATCAGCGGTGGGCAATCCGATGATTTCAGATCGAGGTTGTGATCGAAGGCGTCCACGATACACATTAAAGGCGAATTGTAGAAATCGCTGAATTTAACGTCCTCTTACGTTGGTTTCCAAACTTCATGTAACCTCACTGACGATGTGCGTTATGTAAACAAACAAATACAGTTACATAGTGGAACAATTACTTTATGCGGCTCTTCTTTTGGGTGACTTATTGTTGTGAGTCCTTAAAAAAAAGTGTTTTTTTAATGAAATTCTGTACCTAAAACAGGGATCTACCTATAAGGTTTGGTAAGGGCCAGTATAAATACCTATTATTAGTAATAAAGGAAGTTGATAACTGTTATTTCCAGTGGTAGAAGGTAACTAAGTACATTTACATCAAGTACTGTACAATTAGGAGGTACTTGTGCTTTACTTGAGGATTCCCGCTTTATACTACTTTATACTTCTACTCCACTACATTTATTAGATAATTTTAGTTACTAGTTTACTTTACGTTTTAATGTTAATACTTTTGTATTTTTACTTAAGTAAGATTTTAAATACAGGATTTTACTTGTAACAGAGTAATTTTACACTGTGGTATTGATACTTTTACGTTTAAGATCTGAGTACTTTAAGCATATGTTTAATTAAATGCTGCAAAGAGAACTTATCTTAAAAAAATATATATATAAATAAATAAATAAATACTCATGACGTGTAACTAATCATAAGTACTGTAGGTGGGACATTGAGAGAAGCGGCTGCAACAGAGCCGAAGCTGAACATATTTTAATGTATTAAAACAACAACAATACAGATCATCGGGAATAAAGCTGAATACTGGATCCAATAAGTGTCCAGGCTGATAATCTGAGTCTCTCTCTAACCTAAAACAATACAAACTCTTTGTTGGTGTGACAGAATTTGTACGTCCTTGTGTCCAGTTGAAGTTGACATTGTTGCACTGCCTCAATATTATGACTCAGAAGTCCTTGAGTTACAGAGAGTATCTGCTGAGTGGACCCTGCCTGATGTGAAGCACTGAAACAAGGTGGGAAAAGTAGTTCAAACACAGAACCTCCAAGGTGACTCTGTACGTGACCGCTGCTCCTTCAGCAGGCTCGGCACGTCGGCCGAGCGAGCACAAAACTATCGCCTCTAATCGCTGCCTGTTTGTACAACTTCACAGGACCACATGTACTGTTTATAGACTCTCTGTGCTGAACGTTATGAGTCACCACTGTGTCGTACAAACGCTGATTAGCACCTCTTCGACACATAACGACACTGGAGTGCTGTTATGTGCAGCTAATGAAGCGCTGCATTCCTGGACTAATTTAATAAAACTGGCTTTTAAAAAAATCAGATAGTCAAACCATTATCCCTCTGAATTTAAATGTGATAAGACTTCCAAAGGGACGTTTTTTTTTTAATCTAATGAGTTAAATATGCATTAAAATAAAGTGCCAATGTAATGTGATGCCAATGCAGATGGTGCAGCTCTCTCCATACTGCGTGCTGACTACACAGATTTCCTACAGAGCTCATCCGTCACCCCCCCCGCCCCCCGAGACCCCTCCAAGCTCAACGTGCATGCACACAAACACACACACTTTTCACAAAGTACAATCAATAAAGTGACGTTCGCAGGGCTGCCAGCAGTCAAACATGATGCAGCATTGCACCACACATACATTAACATCCGCTCCCATCCCCCCCCCCAACCCCTCGCTGCCCTTGGGCTGGAAGAAACTGCAACCCCAACAACACACCAGCAGACTCTGGAGTGATCGCAATTAAACAGAATGGAAATGTAGGATGGAGCTTGAAGGCGAAGCAGTAGATCAGAGCGAGAGAGAGAGAGAAGACTGTATTACATAATATACTCGGGCACATCTGTAGCTATCACATGATGTTCAATAAACAACAGCTGAGGCTATGTGGAACAAAACAGACTCAAAAAGGTGAGAACGGGAGGATTAAAATCAGCTGCAGGGGTAAAGATTGGAAGCTTTCATAAATAATAAAACAGGCAGCGACAGATTAAAAGATCCCATCCCCCCCTTCCACGTGAGACTTAACATAAAACTGGATTCATTCTCGACACAAGGGGTTCGTGGCAGTTTCCAGGTTATGATTTAAAGCTCAGCACCACTGCAACACTCGACTGACGTCCTGCGCTTCACAGTAACTCCGTTTTTACTCTTTCATCTGAAGAGGAGGATGTTTACACTCGTTCATTTCACTGTGATAGAAAGCAGTGACTGGAGAGGGGCAGAGGGTTTGTCGTTGGATACAGCTTCACTAAATGCGTGTTTAGGGCTGTCACGGTGATTTTTTGGTGGCCCAACAGCACGATACGCTGCGTTACCGCCATTTCAATTACCATAAAAAATGAGAAGATAACTTGTGATGTGGTTTAAACTTGTCCACTGGTGAGAAATCAGACGCGGCCTGAATGCGTAGTAACATTTTAAAGGATGTACAAGTTATCCTACGGCTTCGCTTAAATGCTAAATCCCTATAAAAAAACAGTTTTTCTGCCCTCTTCTCCCACTGATTTCCTTTGGTATGAAGCTTTACAGACTAGCCACGCTGGTGCACAATAACCGGCTGTGTGCCGACGTGCAGACAGTTTCCTCTTGTTGCCATTTACAACCAGTAACATGCAAAGAGACACGGTGCAGCTTCACAGTACAGAGCCCTTATTGAACCGAGACCAGAAATAATCTAGTTTATCATTCAAAACCTTCCAGCTTCATCAAATCCATTAAAACACCTCACACAGCGTCTCACATGAACGTCCAGGATATAATGGATGCCACTGAATATGTTAAACGGCTAAAGGCCTCCTCAAGTAACCGAACTATGTGATATCTCCTCTTTAATTCAATCTGTATTTTTGTGGCTTTTTTCTGTACAAACACTCGAATCTGAAGTCATCCTGACCTGACTCGCAGACGACCGATCCCGGCTTCAGCTCCAGCATCATGGTGATGGTGGCGATGTCGGTGGTGTAGAGGATCTGCGTGCGGTGCGGCAGCGTGACCGTCCACAGCTCCGGCGTCGGGTGGAGCACGTGGACCCAGCCGCCTTTGCTGCAGGTGACCTTGGACCCGTAGCGCCGGCCGATGAGGTCGGTGGAGTGGCGAAGGACTCCGTAGCGCGTCTGCGTCTGGGCGCCCTTCTGCACCTTGACCGGCATCATGGATTCATGGCCCAGATAGACGATGGCCACGTCCCCGTCCTGAATGAAGTCTGAGTACTCCACAAAACTCATGGTGAAGCACCGTCGCTCTGCATCAGGGAGGAAGGAGTCAGCACACACACACACAACTGTTTAGTTATCAACAAATAATATAAAGTACAATCTTTATTCTGTAGACAGATTCACAATCTGATCATACACAGCTGGAAGCTCTTCTAGGACATTAAAAAACACCTTTAAATGTGTTTCCCCAATGTGATTGTTTCTGTTTAATATCACCTCAATGGGCTGTTGATCAGACAAAACAAAATGAATCTGAAGATTTGATCTCGGTCAAATAGTTGACAGATTTAATCCAAATATTTGCTAAGCAGCTAACGTGCTAATGTTAGCCACCGCAGCCGTTACTGAGCACACAGAAGAACCGTTGGTGACCTTCTTTAAGTACTTTAAAACCAACGGAAAAAACCTTTTATTCCTTATATTATATCTCCTTAGAACTGGACCCGTCACATCATATTGGAGTTATAGTAATATTACGAATTTCCAACTTGTAATTAATTAATTAATGTCAGCTTCCAGATTGTGATTGTAATGGGGGGGAAAGCTCCTATAAATCCGACCTGATGATACAAACAAATATGGACGCCTCACATCTTCGTGACATATCAGATTTTAATGCACACCGTCTCCTACATTTAGTTTCTCTTGTATTAGTATGTTTTAATGCCATTTTTAAAAAAAAAAGAATAAAGTATACTCTCAACATTATCGTGGTAATATCGTGCATCGCGATTATTTTCGTCCAAGATAATAAGTGATGGGAAATGTTCATGTAACGGTTAACGGTAGTTCAGTTTAAACGTTGTAACGTCACAATCTCTCTGCGGTCTGGACGCCTCGTTGCCACGGTAACAAGCTCTCACACAGAACCTCCGGCACGCGCAGAAAACGTTATTTTTTAAATGTTTCAGCCTCTTTCAAACCGAAGAGCAACGGTCGTCTGAACGCAACGCATTATTAACTACATTACACTCCACAGAGACAGAAAGAGAGAGAAAGTAACGACAGAAACGGGCCAAAACATGTCGGACAACATAGAGAAGATGTGAGTGACACTGTTTAATGTTTTCTTTACGCGGCTAACGTTACATTTCTTTTGTTTCTCGGAGAAAAGTGTGCTGGGGGTAACGTTAGCCTCTGTAGCTAACTGACGCTAACGACAGCTATCTGTTAGTTATACAGCTGGCTAACGTTAGCGCTGTGGTTTAGGGGGCAGTAACACCATTTTGTAACTTTAATTTCTACATTTTATAAATTATTAACGTGGTTGCTAACTTTCAAACGTACAAAAAAAAAAAAAAAAAAAAAAAAAGGCACAGTGTAAAATGTCTGAGAGCAGCTCGCTAACGAGCTAACGTTAGCCACCGCAGCCGTTACGCTGCGCACGTGAAAGAGCCGTTGGTGCCTCCCCGACCTACCTTCTCCAGCGGAGGCGTTCCGTGGCTCCTGCGGATGAAACCAACACAAACCGTCGTCAGTTAACGACTTAACTCCTGCCCTTAATGCCGGACGACGTGCAGCTGGACCGCAGTTGACAGCCACCGGTTCGATCCCCACACACGTGGTTTTGTTTTTAGAGGAAGTCGAGTGGACACGACCGGAAGCTGAGCCGCTTCACGGATCTGTAAATCCGTGCGCCGACGCAGAGCACCGAGAGAGGCCGTCCACATGGTTTATAAATCCGCTGCTCGCCTCCGGACGCGGCAGCACAGAGTGTATTTATAATATTACACCCAGTTTAAATTGTAGAAAAGACACACAGACAAAATAACCCACGTTTATTATCACCAGCAGAGGATGCAGTGGTCGGGCAGTAACTCTTTACTGGGGAGAAACCAGCTTTGGAGGATGGAAATGCTAATATATTCAGCAGCTGTAGATATTCTCATTACTTTGACAAACAAAAGTGGATTTTAATGGCCATAAATCTGAAGTTTGAGGAGAAGGGGAACACTTTTGTGGACAGTAGCAGAAAAGTAAATTCATTACTGTTGACAGGGAGTAAAGTAATAATATTACTTATGAAAAGAGTAATGAGTAATAAATTAAAATGTTTGAGTAACTAGTCCTACACAGATAACCAATAAGTTATAATATAATACTATAAAATACTCCATTACAAGTAAAGGTCTGGTATTTAGCTAGTTTTATTTAAATACAGGTACAAATACCTCCTATTGTGTTACATAATCAGTTATATGTTATAAGTTTGCATTCACATTACTGATGTTTTCATATGTAAGCAGCTTTGTGCTGTTGTTGGTCAATGTGGGGCTGATATAGCAGCCATTTAATGAGAGGATCACACGGTTCGTATGTAAATGTGTGGTCTGAAATGTAACTTATAAGTACAGCTGTTAGATAAAGGCAGTGGTATTAAAGTATACAGGAGCAGTAAAGTACCTCAGAACTGTTCTTCAGTTCTTAAATGTACATTTTACTGCATCACAACAGCTATTGGTGATCAGATTAGTTCATACGTTTACATGGTGTTGAACCGTATGTTGGGATTATAAATAAATAAATAAATAAATAAATACATTGTTGGCTCGGATCATATAATTTGATTGCGTTTGCAAACTGCACATAAAGTTGAATTATTAATCTGCACAAACAGTCCCCACTTCTCACAGCAGCGCGTCCAATTGAATGAATGGACTACAAATACCGACCAATAGGAGCACAGACGGTCGACTATAAATTACGGGCTGCAGCCATCAGTCGGACCGGAGAGCTGCTGCTGGGACGCCGATGCTGGTTTGTGAGCTCCTCGGTCGGAAAAATAGGGATCTTTGTATCAACCACTGGTAGTAATAGTAGTCCACAAATCCGACAACAACAGGTAGGAATATTATTACATTTAATGCAGAAACAGACGGAAGGTCTGGTTTCTGACTGATCACTAATATTAATGTTCGCTGTTCGAGTAGATTAATAAAATAATGTGATGTCTCAGTAAATGTATGTGCGGAATATTCCCGCACCTGTTTGTCCGCAGTCAGGACGCCGTGTTCACTGCGGGACGTTGAGCTAAAACATTATTCTAATGTCGCTGTGAGCTGTCTGTCCTCACTCTGTCCTCACTCTGTCCTCCCTACATCCCCCCCCCCCCCATCCTCCGCCCAGGGATCAGCCATGCCTTTCGGTAACACGCACAACCAGATGAAGATGAAATACACCTCGGAGCAGGAGTATCCGGACCTCAGCAAACACAACAATCATATGGCCAAGGTCCTGACTCCTGCTATGTACGAGCGGCTGAGGAGCAAACAGACACCCAGTGGATTTACTCTGGATGATGTCATTCAGACTGGGGTTGATAACCCAGGTAAAACCCGCGGTTAATGGCGCAGCGGCGCTCGGTGCTCTTGTTCCTGCTTTTACACTGTGACCTTGCCAAAGGGATCAACTATAACTGACATATGGAGAGCGGATCAGTTAGAAACGGCCTCCATTATCAGAGCAACACTGCAGCAGCAGCTTTATAGCAAATGGTAAAGATTAGAGTTACATAATGTCTGCAGGCAGCAGCTCCTAATCCGCTGCTGCTCCTCTGTTTTATGATGGCAGCATTCAGGTGGACTTTCTCACCCTGTAGACTCTGTTTGTGTTTAGTTCAGAGAGTTTGGCCAAGCTGACTCTGAAGAGGCTGTCAGCTGAGGATGAGTTCCCAGATCTCAGTCAGCACAACAACCACATGGCCAAGTTCTTAACCCAGGACATGTACAGGCAGCTGAGAGAGCGAGCTACACCCAACGGATTCACCATAGATGGTGTCATTCAGACAGGGGTTGATAATCCTGGTACAGTTACAGTCTCATCCTGAGAGCACATTGCATTAGTGAGGATGTCAGTGTGTCTGTCCCTCTGTCCGCTGTCTCCCCTGTGACCCTGCTGACTCTCTGTGCAGGCCACCCCTTCATCATGACCGTGGGCTGCGTCGCTGGAGACGAGGAGACATACGAGGTCTTCAAAGAGCTGCTGGACCCCGTGATCCAGGACAGACACGGAGGATACAAACCCACAGACAAGCACAAGACCGACCTCAACCCAGCCAACCTGAAGGTACCACAGAACCTCAGTTAACCTGCTCAGTGTAACAGTGAGACTGGACCGAGACTATAATGTGTGTGTGTGTGTGGTTCTCCTCAGGGTGGCGATGACCTGGACTCAAACTACGTCCTGAGCTCTCGCGTCCGAACAGGGCGCAGCGTCTGCGGCTTCTGCCTGCCACCTCACTGCAGCCGGGGAGAGAGACGCGCTGTGGAGAAGCTCTCCATCGAAGGTAAAGAGGCCTCTGCTGGTCACTGACTGCTGCAGGTACTGCTGAGTCACTGACGGTGCTGCTGAGTCACTGACCGCCCTGTCAGTGCTGCACATACCGACAGACGCTGCAGCAGAATGATCCTGAGCTGTAACATTAATGTAGAAAGCTGTGGCCTGAAGCACCGTGATGGTCTGTGTAGCAGTGGCGCCCTCTAGTGGCAGCAGCAGGAAACTACAGATTATGTTGCAGCATTAAAGGTCAACTTGAATTTGCCCTCACAGGAAGATGATCCAACATGGCTGCCTTTGTTTTATCTGTCTCCCTGCAGCTCTGGCCTCCCTGACCGGAGACCTGAAGGGGAAATACTACGCCCTGAAGAACATGACTGACGCCGAGCAGCAGCAGCTCATCGACGATCACTTCCTGTTTGATAAGCCAGTGTCTCCTCTGCTGCTGGCCTCAGGGATGGGCCGCGACTGGCCCGACGCCAGGGGCATCTGGTGAGGCCTCGTCTTCACCGCCACCTCACCGTGTTTCTCTGTTGGAGATTTAATTTAGAAGGAAACTGAATAATGTCGTCCTCTGTCTGAAGGCACAACGATACCAAGACCTTCCTGGTGTGGGTGAACGAGGAGGACCACCTGCGCGTCATCTCTATGCAGAAAGGCGGCAACATGAAGGAAGTGTTCAACCGCTTCTGTACCGGACTCACCACGGTTGGTAGACTCTCTGCAGTGTGATTACTGAGCCACACTGACCCTGCTATTAACCTGTTGGTATTGTGTTTAGATTGAGACCCTGTTCAAGGACAGGGGCCACGCATTCATGTGGAACGAGCACCTGGGCTACATCCTCACCTGCCCCTCCAACCTGGGCACCGGTCTGCGTGCCGGTGTGCACGTGAAGCTGCCCAACATGAGCAAAAACGCCAAGTTCGAGGAGGTTCTGAAGAGGCTGAGGCTCCAGAAACGTGGAACCGGTGAGTAACACGTTGACAGGACTTCATATTAAACATTAAATATGTTCAAATATGAGTAAATTCATCTTTCCTCTCGTTCATCAGGTGGCGTTGACACGGCCGCTGTGGGCGGCGTGTTCGATATCTCCAACGCTGACAGACTCGGTTTCTCTGAGGTGGAACTGGTGCAGATGGTGGTCGACGGCGTCAAGCTGCTGGTGGAGATGGAGAAGAAGCTGGAGAAGGGCCAGTCCATCGACGACCTCATTCCCGCCCAGAAGTAAAGCCGTCCTGACACCCAACCTTTCCCTTTCCCTCCCTCTCTCTCTCTCTCTCTCCCCCCCCTCAGCCTGAATGACTCTGACTGTCCTGGAACGCACTCTGTATTACAGTTTGGATTTGTTTGTGTATTTATGACGACACGGTTCCTGTACGGTGAGGATGGAAATGAAATAAAAAGCTCCGGTTAAACCTCTTTGATCTGTGATGTGTGTGTTTATGAACATTATTATTATTATTATTATTATTATTATTATTATTATTGTGACCTGCTGGTTGTAACTGGGTTCATGATAACGTTACACCTGCAGAGCCTCAGCTACGAGTCCCTGAATGCAGCACAGAGTTCAGATATATCTTTTTACACTGAATATAAAAACCTCTTTCAGTACAGCTCGAGATGCTGTTGAGTTGCATTATGGGAAATGTAGGCTCTTACTAGAGACATCTGCTGCTTGATTCTTTAGCTGACCTCAGGTTTTTAAACTTCAGAAGGAGAATATTAAACAAGAGTGATCAGTTCTAGATACTGTAGGTTCTCTAAAAGCTAAAGTCAGACACCATCTTATATTTATATATATATACTTATTGTAGTCTCTTCAAAATGAATTAGACGTTTGAAACTGTCAATCAGGTTTTTGTAGTCCTGAAGACAGATTTATCTAACTGGGATAAATTAGGTTTTTTTTCCCACCAATTTAACCTCAAACTCATCTTTTGACCTCCAGCTGCTGATTTAGGATCCTGATCCCTGAAATACAAACAAAACATTTTACACACATTGAATCCACAATCTAATCTAATGACTCGTTATAGAACACATTTTAATACACTGTCACTTTATAAAGTACAACCTCATACGTATTTAAAGCTTTTTATATTCAACCATTCACATTTTCTCCTTTTTTTTAAAAATGACTTTAAAAACATTAATAAATTAAAAACGGGAAGTGAATGAAGCTCCACACGGAAACAACAAAATGGAAGCAAAACGTTTTTATATTTTTCATCTCGACTGTGTGTCCGGGGTTACAAATGATCAGCGTGAGACGGGGGGGTGGGGGGGGGACGTTCAAGTTGACAGACACTTTAATTGAGACATGAGTGACCCTTTTACACTGACTCCCTCCCCCTCCCAGCCCTCCCCTCCCTCCCCCATCATCATCATCATCATCATCATCATCGTCGTCTCTACTTTTTTAAACGAAATACAAAACAAAAAGAGTATTGCAGTGAAGCCGTCTTAAAGTAAGATACATTATTTACACTGAAAACGAAGAGAAAAAAAAAAAAAAAAAAAGCTACGTAATATTTTTCTTTTTCCAGGAGAGAGAAAAAAAAAATAAAAATAAATAAGACTAGAAATGTAAATTTTTTTGTTTTTTTGTGTGTGTCCACATTCACAGCATGACAAATCATATTCAACTCGTTAATGTCGACCCCGTGTGGCCAGAATAGACTGAGATATTAGTAGGTAAATTCAGTGATTATTGCCAAAAGCCTTAATCTATACATTATAATATTCAATACATACTCTGTATTTTGTTTAAAAAAAGGGGGTGGGGGGTGGGGGGGGGGAGACATTTTGGAAACTGCTACTTGGATGATTGTACAGCTTAAATACTTCTAGATATATATATGTATACTTTTTTTAAACCCTTTTTTTTAAATTTTATTGAATTGTATTTTGTTTCATAGCTTTAACTCGTTGGCAACTTTGGAAGCAATGTTTTTGAAAGCGATGGATGATCCGGATATCCGTTTGAACCTGACGCCGTTGAGGGAGAGACGGGGCAGCTTGCAAACCTCCATCTCCCACTGGACCAGGTTCTCGGCTCGCCCGTCCCCGTGGACGCAAAGAAGCAGGAAACTCTCTTGCTGCTCGTAGTCGCAGTTGTTGGCGTCGAGCACCTTGCGAATCTCCCGCATGATGTCGCAAGGCTCCATGGAGCTGGTGGTCCTCATACTCCAAGTGAATCTGAGGGAGCGGGGTTTACTGTCTTTATTTTCCCCTTTTTGATCCCCAGGTACATGGCGACTGTCGGGGAAGAGGAGAGAGAAAGAAACAGGATGTTAGGATCGTGTGTTGGCTGCATACACAAAGCTACCAGCTACAGGCAAAGTCTGAAGGAATAATTCAACTTTTTTGGGGTTTTTTTTTGCTGAGAATTAGTTTTTAAAGGACAAATTTTCCACAAATATGGTAAAAAAAAAAGGTATTTTGTGATTAGTAGGAATGATCACAAATTAAATTTCACTGAGAATAACTTTTTAAATTATAGATATTCACTATATTTCATTATTATCCTGTTTTGTGACACATTTTTATCTTTTATCAAAAACAAATGCAGCTTCTGAGATTTGCAAATTGCACTTGGCCACATTTTCTAGATTAATAAAAGATCCAAAATTCAAGTAATTTTTGAATTATTAATTAATACTTCAATGATGAAGTGTCATATGTGCACTAATTATCAGTACGAACCATTTTTAGGCCCAACTATTAGTCAGAACTTTATTTCTTGCTTTAATTGTGACCAATAACTTAATATCCGTTAATAGGCTTTTGTCATAATACTGTTTTTAAAAAGTTTTTAATGTCTGAAAATGTCATATGTGCTAAAAAAAACATGACAACTTCACCACATAAAGAGTGGAAACAGGTAAAGTGAAGGTAACAAACAGGTTACATCTTGTTTAATTTGTACAAAAAGACTTTTAGTGGAATATTAAAAACTCTCAGCAAAACGTCGAACTATTCCTTTAAACAACATTCAGCTTGTGGCCGGTGTTTGTTTGCACCGGGACACGTTATTCTGGCCCCAGTTTGTGCGTCTGATGTATCATCGTTACGTTCAAAGTCACAAAGTTTAACATTAGTTTGAAAAAAACCAAGAAAGTTCATTAACTACAATTTACTGCTTTTCTGAAGATATTTCCCCAAAAAGACTCTTTTAACCATCTGGATGATTTCTTTTTTTTACCGGTTTCACAGTTTATGGTTTATTCTCAGGTTATTACGTCACTTTTTTAAAATCACATTAACAAAAAATAAAAGCATTAAAAGTAAATCTGGAGGAAATATTGAACTCGTAGGCAGATAAAAAGATAAATTTGAGGTTATTGATCAAGTTAAAAAAGGTCGTAACAATGTCTCTGTGACTCTACTTAGTGTTGATCATCTAAACTTTCACTTTAGTTCGTTAACACATTAAATTTATTTAGTTTGTTTTATTGGTTTCTTGTTCACTTGGATTTCTAACCGAGGTCCACATCCTGGTTGAGGATGGCGCTCTCATGAACGCTCGTACCTGAACGCCCCTCCAGCTGTTGGCTATATGGTCCATACCAAGTGAGACTTTAGGAAGGGGGGGGGGGATTATTATTTTCCCATCAGTCTCAGTAAAATGAACTCTAGCCTGAATACGATGTTGTAGAGTTATTGTACATCTTAATGCTATAAGCTGCTGGCTAACAGTGTCAGACTACATATTCTGTTTTCATACATTTAAAAAAGGTATTAAAATAAATTTAACAGCTCATTCGAATAACCTGAACTTGCATATGGAATATTCTGCCAGAGTTATTGTTATTATTGTTCTTTAAAACTAACTGAAAGGACCTGAAACGGAGAACGACCCTTTAAAATGGGTTAAAAATCAATTTTTATTGAGCAGTAAATGACATTTATTTTCATCAGACGGTTAAAAAGAGTCTTTAAAATCCCTTCAGGACATGTGTTAAAGGTTTTTAAACGTCTGTATTTATGCATTTAAAACTCTGTGACTGTGAATATAATGCACACTGGGGCTAGACACATCCATGCTGTATTAATGGCAGGTTTATTTTGGGCAGGTGGGGGTGATATTAGGAGCATTTCTCAGGTCGACAAGCACACAAATATGCCATGCCAACAGAGCTAGCACACGGGAACAGTGCCATGCAAACACAACACACTCAGATGCAACACACAGGGTTTCAAACATCCTACGCAAGCGCGGTCGAGCGCCTCGAGACTGCAGACGAGGACAGACTGAAGCCTACGGGTTTAAAAAAAAAAAGAAAGGGGGGACCGACACATTGAGGGAGGGGTCTGGGAGGTTGGGGGGGAGATAACCTCACCTTGAGCCCTCAAGTCTCCCGTTTCTCTCAAACTCGGTTGAGACTCTGAGGCGCATGAAGATCGGACGGGGAGGAGGGGGAAAGAAGAGGAAGAAGAAGAAAAAAAAAAAGATGTGGATTGTGCACAGAAATCATTTTAGATCATTTTTCCAGTTAATGAAATAAATAAAAAAAGAGAATGTGTGTAATAAGAGGGAGTGACACCGATGTGAAACCACCACCGAGAGAAACAACAAAAACAACAAAGAAATGGAAGATTTGTTTTTCTTCCAGTGAATCATGAGAGGAAATAAAAAAAAACAGTGATGGATGTTGATCCCGAAACCCGAAACCAAGCGATTTAAAAAGCAGACAGAGAAAAACAATCTTTCTTTTAAAAAACACACACAAGCAAGGACGGAAACGCAGCTCGCCGACTGGCGAGAGAAACATAACGACAGCCTGCGGGGGAGATTCAGACGTATAAAGGGAGGGAGGTGATGGTGCTGTGATTGGGTCTCTTATTGGTTGATTTGGATCATTTTTATTCCCTTTTCAGTGGTTTTTAAAAGCAGGGTTGATGAGTATATGAGTAAATAATCTTTACAGACTTATCTTAGGTGTAAAGAAGCAAAAGGAAGACCAAGAGATGTGGTCAAAAGCTCCATGTTCTACGTAATAAACTGTCTTTACTGTTAGAAGATTAAAGAAAAGAAAAACTAACAAAAACTCGTTTTTTGTTAGATTGTGATTCAAATTAGTTGAGTATTAATTAGGATAATTAAATGATTAACACAAGATGATGATATCTTTATGTAATCTTGTGAACAGTCTTTAGTATCTGATGTAAAAGATATCTGTGATTGTTTGTTTGTGAACTTTATATCTGTTAAATCAGTTTCTCATTGTGTTCGTTCTCGGGTTTATTAAAGTTACTTAAACTTAAACAAACACTGATGGAAAAGCATCGACCACAAACAAGAACTCGGACACACCAACACAGACAATCTCTTTCCTGGTTGTAACACGACGCCGGTGAAACTCTAAATGAACTAAATGTTCCCCGACAACGTTCCTGTGACTGAGGCGGCGACACGTTCGACAACTCGGCAGGAAAATGACCTCGATGATTAATAAGTCTGGTGGCGAGTTCAGAGGAGAAGCAGAACGTCTGTCAGTGTTTTTGTGGATGTTTGTGGCTCCACGACCGTATCTATTGCAAATATTAGAAACTAGAGTCTGAGCTGATTCGATTTTAATCAAATTATTTACATCTCGTCACTCAGAAAATCTGATAATTCAAGTTTTCCTTGCTGAATGGTCACATCTGATCACAGCTGTGTGACGCCATCCACAACCAAAAGGGTTAAATCTATATATGAGGTTTAAAACATTATATCAGTATATAAAAGAGTCACATGGTGTCTCACTCGCGCTGCCCGTGTTGTATCGCAGCCTCTCTGTGGTTCGTTTCCGACTGAAACTGCTGTTTTTTATCATCTACGTCGGTGAATTGAGGATTTATTTCCACCAAACCAGAGTTGGTGATTGTTGGAAAGACTAACAGAGACAGTTTTAATGAGTTTTATTTAGTTTCTGTCCACTTTAAAGTCAGTTACGATGACCTACGTGGAGTCTGGTGCTCTAGTGCGACATCTAGTGGCAATAATCTTTAAATATGTGACCTGATCAGAGCCTGGGCTTCACAACATTGAAGAAACTGTAGCTCCAGCTTGTTATCACAGCTAACAGCACTGAGCTCACCGTAGAGATAAAATATAAACTGTGAGAGGATGTAAACGTGACTACAGCCAGACGGAGACTAATCATACCGTTTATAACACCGTATCCCTTTTATGAGGCTAACTGACGATATTTAATGTTTATATGATTTGTGAAGCAACGTTATAAAGTTATTTGATTTGTTTCATAAATAAATTTGCTCAATTAGACAAAAAACACACATTTTGGTGGATTTCTTGATCAACAGCTTAAATATAAAAACCACATAAACTGTGATTGTTTAATTCAAGGTTGCCACAAATGAATTATTTTCCTAACGAGAGCGAACCAACGCAGACCAGCTGTGCGAGGTGTTAAAGTGCGTCTACGCTCATCTGCTCCTCGCCGTGACTCACGAGGACTCTGACTGGGTTTAAACCTGCTCCACAGACAGGAACTCTCTGAGTGACTACAAACACAAAAGGGAAAAAAAAAACGGCCGAGTAATATCACAGAAGATTAGATTAAAAGCAAATAAGCAGTAAGCTCCCTGGCTCCTCTGACAGGACGGGGTTCCCAGCATGCACTGCAGCCTGGAGAACAGAAAAACAGGACGGGTGGAGGAGGAAGTGACTCCAAAACCCCCCCGACAGCTCAAGGACTCGACAACAAGAGGACAAGTGAACAGACAGGACTGACAGCAGGTCCTGAGTCGGTCTGAGAGGCTGTGAAAGTCACAAGACCAAAGTGAGGGAGGGTGGGAGGGTGAGAGGGTGAGAGGGTGAGGGAACGAGGGAGGAAGGGAGGGAGGGTGAGTCCCTCCACATAACTGACACTTGGTCTGAGAAGAGAGAGATTGAGGGATTGAAACAGCCCCTTACTCTAGATCTTCATCTTCCTACAACTCTCTATATCTTCTGCTCCTGAATCTGAAAAGAAAAAACGGGGGAGTCTGAAAAAACGGCGATTTTTCTCAATGGACACATGACAAGAAAGAAAGTAAGAAAGACAGAGAGAGAGAGAGAAAGAGAGGGAAAGAATATTAAAAATGTATGACATGAGGACAGGCCAAAAAAAGAATAAGAATAAAAAAAAAAACATGGAAGGATGATGAGAAGGAAGGAAGGAAGGAAGGAAGGAAGGACAGGCTGATAAGAGACCGGAGGGCAGAAGACTTACTAAGGGTCTTTCCTCCCTGGGTAGAAGGGATGGCAGGCCCTGTTTTGGCCGTCTGCCGTTTGGCCGGGTCAATAGTGACCCTAGGCAGAGAGGAAGAGCAGCAAGAGGTCAAGGTTAAAGGACACAGGAAGGTTAGGAAGACAAAAAACTAAAACAAAAAGAAACACACAAACTGTGGAGGAGAGGAGGAGGAGGAGGAAGAGGGAGGTGACAACCTAAAAACGTCCTGAAGGAGGAGGGAAAAAATGACAAAGAACTCGTTGGTTAAGTCCGAAGATGTGATGAAATGTACGGAGGTTCGAAACTGACAAAAAAAACGCCGTAAAAAAAAAAAAAAAAGGTCATCGGACGAGTCAAAGAAATACAACTGAATAAATAATGTAAATTAAAACGGAGAGTAAAGGGAAATAATGAGGCTTTATACTAAGATAATCATTAATGCTGTAGGTATTTCCTTTTGTTCTTCTAGCTCCGTCATCAGTTTATTAGGACATAATAATGGAGATATAAACAAAGGAGGGATGAAAGCTTTGACCTGCTGGTGGCGCTAAAGAAGAACAAGGACGTCAACCAAATAGGTAACAAACTGTTTTAAAACAAATAAATAAAAATGTGTGTATAATGTGATTTTGTACACTTCTATCACATCTATTTCCTGTGTGTGTGTGCTGATAGAGAGATTCCTCCTCTGTGTCTCTTCCTCAGGGTGTCTAACACTATTTCCACCATTAAAATGTTGTTTTTGTGAGTTTTCTTACAAAAACAACATTTTAAGAGACTTTGGGGCTATTTAACTTGACTTTAGAGTATCAACTGAATAAAAAAAGGTCAAATAAAAAGTATAAAGCCTTTAAAAATGTACTTTTACACTCCATTTTAACTATTTAACCGACAATAGATCATATTTCTGACTCGTCTGATAACATTTTACAACATTTTGTCTCCACAGAAATGAGGACAAACATGGAAAGAAAACGAAAAAACAAAAACAAAGTGAGGTGATAAGAGTGAGATGACGACAGATGACACCAGAGTTCGCCGACACAACACTCTGGGTGATGAAGACGCTGCCAGAGGAAGAAGACTGTCCACCGATCGGCCACCAGAGGGCACTGCTGAGCCTTGAGACGGCGCCCTGTCAGGGCCATAAAGCTACAGAGAGAGAGGCCCCCAGCTTCAGCTCCACCTCAGATATATAAATCACTATTTTAAGGATATTTCGGATTGTCACGTTATATTATTTTGGTCGTCCTGGTTCCCTTTCGTAACCCCGAAGTCTCCATTAGCAGGAGAATGAACTGGAACTGACCCCCCCCCCCGACTCCTTCAAGCACCCGCTGCAAAAAACCACAAGTATTAATGAGATAAATGTTTGAAAAGGAGATTACTTCATTAAATAATAAAAAGAGTTAAAAGAGGAGTTCACTGGATGTTAAAGGAGATGTTCACATTTTTTTAAAGCCCACTTTCATACACTGTAAAATGTTAATGCTGTATATTTGTACCCACAGAGATCGCTCCTTAAGGCAGCTTCAGTAAGTGACGGTTCTTGTTTGGTGTGAATTATTTCTCAGGTTCAGCTGAAGGTCAAATGAGATCTTTCATGTTTTTGGTGTAAAATTCACAGTTTTGTTTCCTTGGAAGAGATTTTTCTTTCCACCAGTAGAGACAGAAAGTGGAAACAAGAAGTCTGTTAACACTGGAAGATACTAAAACTTCAACAATCGGTTGATTCATTTAAAAAATCCTAAATAATTTTAGTTATTAAGCAAAATCTGCTGAATTTCTTCTGGTTTTGGAAAAACAAAATACATTTATCCTGTTATATTTAACTGTTAGTAGGAGCCTTAAAAGATTTCCCCTCTGACTACTTAAAACTCAACTTTAGATCAACATTTATAAAGATAAACTTATTTTACTTGGCACCTTTCAAACCAATGTTACAAAGTGATGTCCAAACAAAAAGCTGGATTAAAACAAATCTAAGTAAGTAAATAAGTTAAGTACAGTGAATAAAATACAATAAAATAATCCAAATACAGTAAATTAATAATAAAAATATAAATTAAAAAGATGATTTGAGTCCTGTGGAGTTTGTCCTCCATTAATAACACAGAGTTCGCTTTAAGAAGGGATCTCCTGTACATACGAGCATGTGAGTGTTTTATTAAGATAGACTTAAATAAATGTGAATCCACCTTTTAAATTACAATAATTATCCATAAACATTGAAGAGGTGGAAGATATTTTCTGTGTTAAAAAGTAAACAGAATCGGCTGTTTTGTATTTAAAATAAACAGAATTTCAACATTTTTAGCCATTAATGTGTTAATTTAAAGATTGTATTTGTTAAAAAGTTGGTTATGATATTTTATATTTTGTATTTATGGTCATTTATTTTGCTCTTGTACATATCTGTATCCACTAAATGTGATATTTTGGACAAAGTATAAAAGGAAACCACCCCGATGACGACGAGAAAACCCTCAAAAAAAAGTCTCAAAAGTTAGAAATTCCTCTTAAAAATGATCACTGAAGCACAGAAATCCGGTTCAGGAACACAAACCGTTCCCAAAAAGTTGCCAAAAGAGGAAAAAAAGTTGATCGACAGGCCTTTTAATAATCTAATTTAAGTTCCTATGCAATGCAAAGGCTTATCAAAACACTCAACACCATCGGATAGATCCACCAAAGTCCTTCACAAACACAACAATCTAACTCTGAAGTCTGTATTACACAAGAAAAACACACACGTGCTGTTTCTTTTAGCTCTTTATGGCCCCGAACACCGTCTGAAAACAGGGATTTATTCTGTTCTGAGGGCCACAATAAAGCAAATCTGGACCACAGAGAGTTAAAACAACAACAACAACAACAACCTGTTTCGTGGTGAATAAATACAGCAGGATCATTTCTAAAAAGGCATCGAGAGAGAGAGAGAGAAAGAAAGAGAAAGAAAGAGAGAGAGTTGAGTCGGTACCAACAATCACTGTGTTGAGAAAAAACAAACCACAATCAATGGCAGCTGGAAGAAGCGACCCCATGCAGGCGTTAGCGATTGATTAGTGGCAAGCTGCTGTGTTGTTGTTGCCGTTGGTTAATCGACTGATTGTTCAAGGAGTCGCGGCGCCGCTCTCCCAATCAGCCCTTTAACCCAACTCAGACACAACCACACTGCGGGTACGTTTACACACACACACACACACACACACACACACCAGTTCAAACCGGATTAATGCAGAACGCCGTCGGGTAATGTGATCAATAAACAATGTTCTCTTTAATTAACCGGACAAACGTGGTTTCATATGGAAGCAGAGGGGGAATCGTTTGGAAAACACGCTAATTCGCTTTCTTGAATCTAAAGCTGCAGGTAGTTAGCTTAGCTTAGCATAAAGACTGGAAACAAAGGGAAACTGCTAGCGTGCACCAGCAACTGTAAAGCTCATTAATGGACAGTTACTGGTTCTATTATTGAATAACTGAAATATTGTTATTAATTACAGCACAGAACCATCAAAGCTGCATTTCAAACAACTAAACTGCCAATAATTTGATCTAATATGGATGAATTGATTAATTGATTGATCAGAAAATAGTGAAAAAAAAGTGTCTCAGAGCCAAAACTCAAAGATATTTAATTTAATATGATATAAAAGAGAGAAAACGCAAATAAATCTTCATATTAAAACACATTTCTGAAATATTTGCATTAAAAAAAATGTACTTTAACCATTTTTTATTGATCGACTAATCGATTAGTCGACTAATAGTTGCTTTGGACAAAGTGCCAAGCTAGTAGTTCCCCTCCGCTTCCAGTCTTTATGCTAAGCTAAGCTAACTGACCGCTCGTCTTCCAGCTTCACATCCACTAAGAAAGTGAATCAGCTTACCCCCCCCCCAAAATGTCCCACAACGGTAATCTGATTACAAACTGTGTGCATGTAAACGTACCCAGAGAGCTTTTGTTGTGCTAAGCGTTGTGTTAGTTCAGTGCCAGCAGCCCCAACGCGTCTGTAGAGTCTCAGAGGAAGTTTCTTTTCTCTTTTCTTTTTTTTTTTAGTGAGATTTGTTTTCGTTATTTTTTTGGCACACAGCGAAAAGGCAGTACAAGGGTCCTACCTTTTGGTAAACCTGAATGACATGTTTCTACAAACAGAATCAGACAAAGAAACAGTGAAAATGGTGAAGGAGGAGTGAGAGGAGGGAGGGAGGGGAGGGGAGGGGAGAGGGATGGGGGAGAGGGAGGGGAGGAGGGTTATGAGGAGTCTGAATGAGTGAACAAAAATGGGGTGATTGGAATCATCAACAGTGGAAAAAAGGGGAAGATTCATTTTGTTCTCATCGATTATCAAATGATTTCAATTCCTCATTTTAGGTCAGTCATTGCGGAGCGACGTCGCTGTTCCTGGCTGCCGCCGAGAGAGAGAGGGGGAGAGAGAGAGAGAGAGAGAGAGAGAGAGAGAGAGAGAGAGAGAGAGAGAGAGCGAAGAGAGAGAAGAGGAGAGAGAGAGAGACAGAGAGAGAGAGACAGAGAGAGAGAGAGAGAGAGAGAGAGAGAGAGAGAGAGAGAGAGAGAGAGAGAGAGAGAGAGAGAGAGAGAGAGAGAGAGAGAGAGAGAGAGAGAGAGAGAGAGAGACTGTTCATGCAGAGACAATGTGTGACGTCTCGTTTTTATTAGATTCTCGATTAACTGAATCATCGTTTGGGATTCAAATATTAAAGAAAATGTTTTTCAAAAATGACTTTCAAAGTGTCCTGAAGCCAGTTGGTGGAAGAATAAATCTTTTATTTATTTAAGTAAAAGCAGAAACATCAATGTCCTACTTTTATAAAACATACAAAATATACTTAAATAAGATAAATTCATATATTAATGGATTATAAAGTACTGATGCATTCATGTGTTCATCCCTGTAAATGCAGCCGGTGAAGGTGAATACTTTATATACGGCTGTAATTTCCTCACAGGGATCAATAAAGTTTTTATCTTAATCTATTAATAATAAAATCATAATTTATATATTTTGTGTTATTAATCTGCAATGTAACTTAAGTTATCAGGTAAATGTAGAGAAGCTTTTTCCACTTTAAGAGCGATATTTGACTCCAGGATGAAAGTGGAGCAGAAGTATAAAGAGAAATTGAGTAAATGTACTTAGTAACTTTCCACCACTGCCTAAAGTCCAACGTAAAGTCTTAAAACGTCTGAAAACTGAATAAAAATAGCAGATTATTCTGACTGCAGTTGGTTTTATAAGATTCAAACCAACTGAAGGTGTAATTTAACCATTTTATTCACTATTAATTCAAAGTATCTGCACTGCATGAAAAGTATCTCGTCATCACTCTCACACAAGAACCTCTTTAATGAATCACAGGATTATAATTTACTGAGATTATCTGCTGTGTTACGGCCCAAAGAACCAGTTCCCCCGGACCGTAACAAAGCTGTTCTCTGTGGCAGGCAACCAGGCAGCGACACACACAAACAATTTAGACTCAAGAATAAATCACATCGTACAGGACAGTGAAGTGTTCCCCCCCCCCACACACAGCATGTCATTTATCATCCTAACTCTACAAGGCACTGCACTGATTTGGTTTGTAATCCGAACAGACAGAGTCAGAGGAGATTACACTGTACAGAGCAGGGCTGGAGTTCCTGGTTCAGTCTCACATTAGAATTAGTGACAAAGCGAACATAAATGATTGTTTTAGATTAAACTGACTGAGCAGAAAGAGAAACGCTAACCCTCCCCCTCCTCCCCCGCCAAAAAAAACTGCTTTACTCAGGGTCCTCTCCTACCTGCGGGTGAGTTTGGAGGTGAGTTTGGAGAACAGGTTGCTGGTTCCACGGCTGCGGGTCTGCGAGAGAGGAGTGGCGTCGTGGGAGAGGGTCGGCGAGGCCGGCGGGCCGTTGTACGTGGCCGTGCGGCGGTCCCTCAGCTGGCCCCCGTGGAAGGTGCTGCGGCTGGCGGTGCCTCGCGGGAAGCGCAGCCGGTCGGGCGTGGTGGCGTTGGCGATGCTGTGGATCGACGCCACCGGGTTCCTCTGGCTGCTGGGCGACACGGCGACACTGCTGAGGTGGAGGAGGAGGAGGAGGAGGAGGACACAGTTAAGATATAATGAGAGGTTGAACACAAGAACAGGTAAGTTTGTCCACTGCAGACGTGTTCTTCTGTTTTTTACGGACAGATTCTGAGGTTTCTCTCCAAACCTGCTCAGCTGTTTACAGTGAAGGGTCAAAAGGTCGCTGTACAGTTTGGGACACAATCACACGACTGCAATGGAAAAACTTCTTACAGCTTCGTCACATTTCCCTCCTTATCTGTATAAAATGAGAGTTTGTTATTTCTACATGGATGTCTAATATCGCCGTGGCTTTTAGGTGAATGAATCTTGCATGTTAGACGTGAACAGGGTGGGAAATTAAACCATAAAATATATATTTAAATATGAATGATTGAATCTCATTAGCTGGTGGATTGTTTACAAAAGGCCTCTGATTAGACTGTTACACCTGAGATTAGCAGCAGTGGAGGAGAAAAGACTTAAAAGAGCCTCAGAAACTAAATCAGGAACTTAAAAGCCTCCTAAATTTAAACATTTCTGCCTTCTTAAGATTAAAACACTGCTGTCACTTTATGATCGGGTTGTTTGTTGTAATTACCGTTGTTCCACTCTGACATTTAAACAGATGTCACGAAGGAGGTGAACATGAGTCTGACGTTTAAGTTATTGCATTGTGACATTTAACAGATTAAGTTTTGTTTCCCTCGTTCACCTGTTTATTCTCCGTCATCGCTCACACAGACACACATACTTTCTCTCTTCATCTTCACACTAGTCGGGAAGTCAAACTACAGATAACTTTATGTTTGTCCACAGCTGAGATTCAGCATTAAAAACTCTGCTCCGATCCAAGCCCACTTTATACTAATTTCATGCAATTTTTGGGGCAAAATCCATGCTGTTTCTTTACATGTAGTATAAATGTGGTAATTTACACCCATTGTATTTGAATATTTCTGCATTCTGGGATCCATAAACAGAGTTGGAATTGGGAATGACTGGAAAGCTGAAGCACATACTTCATGCCACCCCTCATTAGTCAGTGCCCCTCTTGTGCCACACCAGTGAAAAAAAGCCTGGAAATGTTTTTGCATAAATCCACCAGCCAATGATAAAACACAGCCGAAGTGAGGACAGATTGAACAGCTGTAACTAGAATGAAGCAGCATTCAGCTGATGTTAATTTCCCACCCTGAACATCAAGCTCCTAACGTGTACAATGAGCGGAGTGAGTCGAGTCCCTGATCAGTTAGAGTCTAAACAAAAACAGATGATGGTCTGAGGGGTGCTGGGACAGCGGGGAGCTCGGCCATCGTGGCGGACACCAGCAGGTGAGCGATCCAGACGGAGAAGATCAGGGGTCAAAGTTCAGAGCAGAGGATGGAGGAGAGATCAGGAGCGGAGCTGTGCAGAGTTTGTTATTGCAAATGTCTGCAGCGGAGAGCAGAGGTCCTCCGGTTCATGGCTGGCAGAGGGATGATGCAAACATGGAAAAATATTATCACACACAGAGTTTAAAGACCTCGTGGCAGCTTGATTTCAGTGTGAGGATATATATTTTTCTCCACTTGTGGCTCCGCTTTTGTCAGTGTCTGAAACCAGCACACACCAGGGAGTGAAGGGAAGATTTGTTTTTGGTAAGAAAACAGCACGGGGATGAAATATGAACTAGGAAGTTTAGTTTTAGTAACATTAAAAAGGCGTATTAAATGCCAAAATGCTGAAATACTCACAGACAGGATTTTACAGCTAGTTTATCTGAACCTGGTCTGTCTGAACGCGGCCCTACTGCAGTGCCATAATCCGAGCTTTTAATTACGATGCAGCCTTTATTCCACACAGCACCTGACACTGTGCACAGAAACAGCAAACAGGTAATGTGATGTGAATTTTCATGAGATCATTTCTGTCCAGCATTGAGGAAGAGAGCTGCAGCTTTCTGCCGTGGAACAAGGCTCCAACGTAATCGCGCACCGTCAAAATACGTCCATTAAAAGTATTTGTTTCTGCCACTAACAGGCTCAGATCGTTATTATAAGTGACAACTGAACTCTACAAAGAAATGTCAAGTCTTCTTTCCCTTTCTCTCTGTGTTTAACCTAAGTCTCGCTCAAGGAGAAGTCTGAAATCTCGGGAGAGGTGAGGTGACCTTTGCAGGAAGAGAACAGTGGATGTAGAGTTTGTTGTGTTGGAAGTACAGAAAGCGTAGCTTAGTTTTCTGTACAACATTTTCAAGGTCTTGGCTGAATATTTAGCTCATTTGGACGAGTGAAGTGAAGGAGAGGGCGGTTCAAAACGAGGACTAATGTTACGTCTAAATTAGTGAACCAGTTCCAAACCTGAAAAGTTGGTTTTTGGTCGAAATGCTTTACGTTTTTTTTAGAAGAACTACCTCGTTTAGCAGGTTGGTTTTGGTTTGAGTCACGCACCAGTCAAGTGGTTTGTAGAGCAACTGCAGAAGCATGTAATGAAGCCCTTTCTATTACCTGCAGTGTGGACATACAGAGTGCAGCACTGGCTCTGATCACAGTTTATCACAGCAGCTCAGCACTGTTTGTAAGTTCTGTACACAGAACCATTAATCCACGATGTGTTCTCCGCTCCGACAATACGTCAAGTCTTCTCTTTTTACCTAGCTTCTTCCGGATGAGCACAGATTTCAGACACTGACAACAACAAAAAACAAGTTGGACGCACACTTTCCTTACTGTTCTCTGCAGGAAATGGGTGCCCATGGTTTAGTTTGTGGGGTTACAGAGTGTGAAGCTGGCTGGATGTGTGGGTTAGCGAGGGGCCATACAGGGGCTGAGACATGAGAGGAGACAGACAGGGGGCAGGGGGGTGTTTGGAGGCCCTGCCGTCTTACTTGGGCGAGCAGTAGTCCAGAGCGTAGTAGGAGTGGGGCAGCGTGGCCCAGCCTGCCTGGCAAACGTACAAAGGGCCGACGGTTTGATACCTCAGCCGCACCGAACTGGACGAGGCACCGAACGCAGCGGCCGCAAAGGCAGAGGAGGGGCTAGTGGCACAAGCCATCTCAGTCATGCTGGTCATGCCACAACGGGAAAAACAACCCCCACCAACCACCCGAACCACCCCGAACCACAAACAAACAGGCAGAAATGAAAAATAAGATGATGAGAAAAAGGGAAAAGAAATACAAGAAAGAAAGAAAATGAGGGAATGAAACAAAGGAAATATTTTTCTAGGGCTCCTGTCTGGATTTTCTTTTCAACAATAATGGAGAAAGTCTGAGCCTCAAAGTGGTGAAACGCTGCTATTAGAGTTCAACCAGTATGAGGCTGGAAGGCTGACACTCATATTTTTATATTGAGCCTACCAATATGCATATTTACTAGCCACGAATTCGACCACATTCGTGTTCATAATGAGCACTTTTGCATTCTTGTTGGGTTGAAAGAGCTCTTAGACCACAGTACTGGCAGAGGGGAAGCACTGACTAAATAAAACACACTAGTTTCCATAACAGGTTCCACAAAAAATGCACACACTCAATAATGTCATTAAAAAAAAAACTGCTCTGGAACCAAGAAGTTATGATATTTTGTGTACTTCACTGACAAAGAGGCAGCAGCTCAAACAGGAACTGCTGCTTTCTCTGAGCTGACGCAGGTTTTTTAAAAGGGGGTTGTTTTTTTTTTTTTAGGGGAAGAAACCAGGTCAAAGCCGACAGACATCCTCTCTCACCTGTTCTCCTTCCCGTTGGGAATGACGGAGAGGCGGTCCGCGTTGTTTCTGTCACTGCAGACGTACGTGTTCCTCCGGGTCATACCTGCCGACGCGGTGTTATTCTGTAGAGTGAGAGAAACCATATTATCACCATCTCACTGTATACGTTTATGATTATATGTATATAAATAACTGTATTGTTTTATTCTATTATTATTCTATACATTTAAAGAAAGTTTGTAGTTTCTTAATGCTACACACACAGAAAGAAAAATATAATTCTGTTACACAGCATTGTGTTGTATAATGATTAATAAGTTTCCTTGGTTCCTTCTGTCTGACTCAAGCATTACATTTGATTAAAAAAACCGTTTATTGTTTCTAGGATCCACATTTGCTGATATTAGTCTTCAGATATAAATGGGGGAAAAATATAGAAATTAAATCACCAGGACTATAAAATATGCACAAAAAAAAACAAGACGAGTTACAGTTAGACCATATTAAATAAAGTTTTAGGTCTTTAAGGTCATAAACCTTCACAAACTTGGTCTTTTCTCTAAATAACATACTCCCTACAAAACTAACTGCGATGGAAACGGAGCGTAAACTCACTCAAAGTTAAACTAAAGTTAAACTAAACTACTGAATGATTGCAGTAAAGTCTAACCTATATTTAACTTGCAGTTTGAAGCTCTTATGTATTCATGATGTGATTTCTGTACAATGTCTTTCAAATCTTTTGTTTTTAGACCTAATTGATCCTTCCTAGACGTTGCTGCAGATAAATGAGCCCGCGAGCTCCGCTGTGTCGTCGTCGTTGTCTTGTAAACTCACGCTCGGGCCAGTGGTGGCGCCTTTCCTGCGGTCAGGGATGTCGGCCTTGTTGGGGTTGTTGGCGTTGCCCAGCAGAGGGCTGGAGGGTGGCGCCCCGCGGCTCCCCGGGGTGGTGGGTTTACGGAGCTGGACTCCTCCTTCCTCCTTGGTGCTGTTCTCCGCTGTGGTGGTCTGACTCCTCTTTGGATGAGCCATCCCTGGAGGGACGTTCTGGCCGACTAGAGAGGGAACAGAGACGGATGAGTGACGGATGATTCGAAGATGTTTGTACGTCTGGCGAAACAAATACTGAACTTTACTACTGAAAGTGTTTTCATCTAAAATGAAATGACCTACAATTCTGACACTGAATCAAAGTGACTGAGAACTTAATCTGCTGCACATTAAAGTTTTTTTTTTTTAAAGAAAGTAGAGTTATTTAGTTCATAGTTGGAGAAAATATCTGTCTCTTGTCTGGTTTAATGCAAAATTATGAGCTTGAGGCCTTTTCCCCCTAAAATAAACAGAAAATTATTCAACAACAATTTGGATAATTGATTAAACGCAAAATAAATCACTGGTTCCAGCTTGTTAAATGTTAATATTTGCTGGTTTTCTCAGACTAATGTGACATTAAAATTAATATCTTTGGTATCCTGTCAGACAAAAACAATTTCTATTTAATCGACTCCAACTTTGGGAACTCTGATGGTCATTTTACAACCCAACAATCATTTAATCAACAACATAATCAGCAGCTTCACTGATAATAAAAAACAAACCGCCCTTCATGAGTCAATCAGCATATGTTTTGTTGTATAACATGTTGATATGTTCTGTCACATTAAATGCCACGATCATCTTTAAAAGCCCGGTCAACAATGTGCATGCGTCGCTGTGTTAGAGCCGGAGGTTTAAAAAAGGTTTCCAGTGCAGCTTATTGAAGCTCTAACGGAGAGGAAGCAGTGCAAACTGCGGTTATTGACAAAGCATTATATCACAGTGGACAGCACTGAGCTGTGCAAATAAGCTAAAGGTTAAAGTGCCTCCACAATGTGGCTGCTTTGATTTAACTGCTTTTTATCAGCCTGGCAACAAGCTACTGGAAGAAAGCAACCTTTAACAGGAGGAAAGGCACAACGGAGTTTGAGCTGTGGGCTCACACTGAACACTGTTTGATTATTTTTAATGTGATTAAAAACAGGAGGAGATAAAAACGCGGTGTCCTCCTCACCTTGCTCGCTGTAACGTCTCTGTTTGTGGTTGGAGGAGACGCTCCTCTGGACTTTGAGGTGGGAGGGCGACTGTCCGTTGAGCTCGCTGTTGGGTCTCGGTTTGGCCAGAGACAGGTTGCTACTGGAGGCCGACTCGCTGGGCTCCAGCTGGGGGACAGACAGACAGATCTGAGTCAGAACATACAGATACGTGCACTCGGACAGCAGTGGTTACCTGTTACTGTATTCCTGGGTAGAGTCTAAACTCCAGTCTTGAGTCAGATTTATAGTAAGATCAACAGCTTTTCGGCAGAATATGGGGCTTCAACTGTACAGAATATCTTATCTCTATTAATTAATTTCCCTTTATTCACCTAAATTAAATCATGTAACTGCACTGATAACAGTCGTACCTCAGAGGCCTTCCGGCCCAGCAGCAGGTACGTGGCTGTGATCTCGTCATACTTCATCTTGGCCAGAGAGTCCTGGATCTCCTCCAGGTTGTAGCCCATCCCCACCATCACATCTGCAACAAAAACACAAACAAACACGACTCATTTTAAAAACAATATTACCACCAGCATTTGACCAATCAACATTTATACACACTGAAATGACTGAAAGGACGAAGGTGTTTCGTCTAAAACGAGACAGAAAAACTGCTTCACAGTCTAAAGAACATCTAACATCTCTTAATCTGCCTCAAACATTTATGTTTCATTGTAGATAATTAATGAATAAACCTCCGATTGAACAATCAGTCAATTGTCTTGTTGTGATGTTGTATATGAGTCTCTCTCATCCTCCTGCTGGTTTTCTCAGTTTTATCTTTTTAAATTATTAATATATTTGTGGACTTCGGACAAAAGACGACACCTGAACCACTTTGGGCTCGTGAGGGACAATTTTTCACAATTTTAGCTCCATTTCATAAATTTAGGTTGAGCCGTTTTGGGCTAAAACGTCTTCAATTCTGAATTTCTGTCTAGTTTTTGGTCAGAAAATTGCTAATTTATATCATAAAACGACGTCACTGCACAGACTAAACTCGTGAACAGTGTGAATCCATCTGCTGTCTCTGCTCCACACGCAGCAACAACAATATAACATCCAACAGCATATGGCGGATTATTAATGTTTCATGTCTGTCCCTTTGCAGCCGTTGTTCAGAGATTATTACGTGAATGGTTAACTGGGATTGAGTGTGTGTGTGAGAAATGATTCAGGTGAGTAATCAACCTCTTCCTACTCTCTCTCCCCTGTTCTGCCTCGATCAATCAGAAGCACAAAGACGCTGATTGGAGAGTGTGTTTGTAGCGGCAGGTCAGGTGAAGCAGAGTGGTGTTTTCCTCGCTGCAGCTCCGACCGGATCTGCTTTTAAACATTTATATATCCCTGTGTGTGTGTGTGTGTGTGTGTGTGTGTGTGTGTGTGTGTGTGTGTGTGTGTTCCTGCCCCCCCCCACCACCTCCAACATGCATCATATGAAGGCTTTTATCCTTTCATCTCAACACTATGCAGCCTATTAATTTTTAATAGAGTCTCCTTTCACTCTGAAACATGTTGGAGAACATTTCTGATCAAAGCAGATTACATCTTTGGAGGCAGGACCGGTTTCTGAGCACACACACACACACAAAAAAAAAAAAAAAGGTGTTAAGATGAGTCACAAGCTTCATAGTGACCCGCCAGCCAGTAATCAGGCTGGCGTCTGTTTTCACCACGAGATCAATACGACTTTATATGTCAAGTAAAAATGTGACTTTTTACCAAATACCTGTTCCTGTAGCCTAAAGCTCATTAACAGTAAAGAGTGAGTGTGAGTATTATTAGCAAATGTTAGCCTCTAATATAATAATAGTCCTTGGAGCCGACTGATATGTGCACACAGACAACTGCCACACATTATTTCTATAAAACAAAAGGCCATAAAGTCTGATCTATTATAGTGGTAGCGTAATAAATACATAATTACACACTTATCAGAAACTGCAGGACAGAAATTAAACAAATATATTTTGAATTAGTTTAGAAACAAGAGTCCATTACATAGTTTGTCCACCAGAAAGCGCTGAGGTCACAACTCTTTATAAAAACTAATCTAAAAGCAATCTTTAAGCATCAGAATAAACTATATAATTAATATTACAGGTTTAAAGCAGCTGATTTAGCTTCATTACAAATTTCCTAAACAGTCCAAACATCGTATCTTCCGACAAACTATGAGGGATTTGACATCTACATACAACTTCCAGCAGTTCCAACAGGTATTACTAAAATTATCAACTAATTTAAAAAAGATATAATTTATAATATATATATATATATATATATATATATATTATATAATATATTTGGACTATTTGTCACAATTATCGAACAATAATTACGTAACAAGTTGCTGCCTTGAAGCATAAAGTCTGAAACCACAACAGCAGAATACTACTAGAAGGATTTTTTGACCAATATATTTATAATCTGCTGGTTCATTTCTCTGCTTTTAAAGGAAATATTTTATGTTTAATGTTCAAAATACCCCAAAAACACCCTAAGAATAAGAATGATTCATCCTGTCCAACAGACTTTTCTCGCTGTCAGGGTGGAAAAGCCTCTCAGGCAGCGCTCTGATCATCACGTCGCACTGAGGCTCTCCACTGAAAGCCGTACTAATGCCATTATTTTCGGTGAGTTAGCAGCTCTCCTGCGCAGGGTTTTTTTTTACCCACCGACATCTTCTAATTTGGTCGAATTAAATCTTTCCACACTAACGTGGAGGAATCCAGCCTGGCAGACGTGACAAATGTAAAGTAAACTAATATTAAAAAAAACAACAAACATCTGTCTTCTCGACCTGGAAACTGACAGTTTTGTGAGTGATCGACCTGCAGGGAGCTTCATGCAACACTGTTCCTGCGACTGACGTTTTGAGCCGGAGAGACGAGAGAGTGAGAAACTCGCTCTGCTGCTGTAACCGGGCAGAATCTGTGATATCCATCTCTCATCCATCACCACACTCTCTCTCTCTCTCCCCTCCTTCCTCACTTTCACCCTCCTGCTCTCCCTCAACACTCCTTTAATACTGGGCTTTAATACTGCATTGGACAAGTGATCAGATTTTGATACAGAACACGTTTAAAGTGCTTTTCGGACGCATAACACGTAACGTTAAAGAAAAGGCCTTTTTGGAAACCTGATAAATGTTCGTTACAGAGACGCTGAAGAGAGTTAAAAGTAAATATATCGAGGGTTTTCTGTTCTCTCGCAGGCGCCAGCGTTGGGTGTTTAAAGACTTAATTAATGACCAATGTGAGCGGGAGGGACGCTCGCCACCGCTTCTTACAGTGAATCCACTAATACATTTCCACATCAGTGTCACCATTTAACGTAATTAGGAAGCAAATTCTGCAAATCCAACGAACGTAGAATGACAAGATGTTGAGTTGGGACTTTAATTCCCAAGTTTTTTTTTGCTGAAAATTGCAAATGCAGAGAGGCAGTTGAGTGTGTGATTCTTATTATGATGTAAAAGGGAAATATATAATTAGCACAGACTGAGCTGACATGAGAAGAATCCAAGTTTAAAAAGTCAAAAGTAAACGATTAATCCCATTATCGATTAATCTGTCAAAATAAAATCCTTTTAAAAGTCTAAAACCCAAACTCTCCTCATAGAAGACAAACAAAACCTGCAGTAATTCACCTTTGACAGGCTGGAAGTGGAGAATTTGGGGATTATTGGTTAAAGAAATTACTTATTGATAATCAAAATAGTTTAAAGTAGGTTTCAGCTGTAAAACTCATTCAGAGTGTTTCCTCTATGTGCCGTTTTGCCAGGTATTACTCACATCCTTCCTGAAGTCACACTGGTTTGAAGCATTTTGCCGCGTGAGACACAACCCCCACCCCCTAAAATATGTTGTTTTCTCATCTGGGAGAAGGTTTACGTGACAGTTTTAAATGCATTATTTAGGATTTGGGGATTCCTCGGCGAGATGAAGACATCTCTTCGCCCCACACGCCGACTGGGTGACTGGGACTTTGCACCGACACATGTGCACTGACAGCCAACCTCAGCTGCTCTTACGTAACAGCCCCCCCCCCCCTTCACAGCTTTCATCCAGGGCCCAACGGGGAGGCTTCTCTCTCTCTCTCTCTTCCTCTCCCTCTCTCTTTCCTTCCTCGCATGCAGCAGCACGGCTCGTGTTTATTTATTCATCGTCACGTTTCATCTTTTTCTTCTAAAAGCTCTTCAGTGATGAAATAATGAGACCGGCTCTGTGACCCCCCCCTCACCAACGTTTGACGCCCCAGACATTTTCTCAACAAAACAAAAACCATACAGAGTTTTGAACTGTAATAAATGGAGAATGTTTTGATGTCTGTGCACTTTTCTGGCCCAACGGTCATAAAGCGTCATATAAACTTAAATGACCAAGCAAACTTTCCTCTGAAGGATTTTACCAGCAACATCAGCAGCAATCCGAGTACCGGTAATCTTTTTATTGTGTGTTGTTGTTTTTATTTACCTATTCTCTTCTGGTCCGTGATGTCCAGCTCTGGTTCAGTGTAAGGCTTGAGCTCGTCCTCTTCAAATCCTGCATTGATCCATCGATCCTTCATGATTTGCTGCGAAAGCAAAAAGCGAGACAATTAAGAGCCCGACTGAAACTGGATTACTGAGGCCGATATCGGTATCTGATATTGGCCAGAGTACGTTTTAATGTTAACAAATACATGCGGAACCATTTGAATTAAGGCGGCTGATTAAAGCTGGTGTCCATAATCTTTTCTGGATCATGTGGAGTAAAGTTACTGGACTTTTTTAGGTGAATACCGATACGTCTGAGAGGAAAAACTAACTAACTAACAGTGACAGAGTCTAAATGGTCAAATGGACACTTAACCATGAACTCAACCTGGAGAATTATAGTTTAGACTTTAGTTCAGCGTCAGATTTCAGGTGTTATATTACCTCTCCAACACTTGAAGGATGTGATACACGTGATCAGACTGTACTGAGATTTAAATTATACTTATAGTGACTGTGGTTAACCAGGGTGAAAAGCACAAGTAGCCCAAGCCGACCAATCACAGGCTTCCTCCGTAACCACCGCAGCTTTTGACGTAAAGTTAAATTTATTAAGTTGCAGCAAATGACCTCCACAGGAATATCTATTTTAGTATTTAAGTGGGTTTCCAGTATTCCTTTATTTGAACTTAAAGTTGACATGACAAACAGCATCACTTCAGAGAAACAGACAGACGAGAGGACGGCACATATTGCGTGAGGCATCATTCTGCCATTTCGCAGTACCGTCCATATTGTGCTGCATCTCATTTGTTCGCACCTTTATTTTCAATTTGCAGCTGATCAATTGCTCTCTGGCTAGAGCCAAATTAATTATCGCGGCTCATGCTCCGATGTAACCGGAGTATTATGCCATAATCATCATGTGGCATCTGAGGCCAACACATGTGACCCTCGCAGTGGAGCCAGCAGCATTGTTTTTATTCACTTACGCTCAGCTCGACATCAAAACAACAAGCAATAAAACTGATTCATTCCCCTTGAAAACAACATAAGTCTCCAGTTTCGAGCCAACGCGCCAAAAATACTCTTGAAAAGAACGGATGTTTTATATGTTAATGATACAGTGCTGGGTGTCAGGTGGGGCTGCGTGATTACAGCTAAAAAAGATGATCATTAACACTCTTCTGACGGCGTTATCTCCACTCTGATTGATCTGTGGAACAATTCTCTCTCTCCCGCTTTCCTGCCGCTGACATCAAACACGACTATTTTAGTCTCAGCTGATGCTCCAAGTGAACCTGAAACGTCTAAATATTTCTGCTATTATCAGATTATGTGTAAAAAAATTTATCTGTCAGGACTTTACGACACAATAAGACCTTCAATACACTTTGTTAAGAGATCCAGACACTTTATAACTAACAAAAGAGTTAACTTCACTAACTTTACTTAGTGATTCGACTGCTTACTTTTGAGTCTGCTTCTAAACACTAAAGCAACGTAAATCAGTTGAAATTACATCCACGTTTACAGAATACAACATTAAAATGCTGCTCACGTGTTAAAGCAGTCAATAAGAATAATGTTTGAACGATTATCATTCAAACACGCACAAGGGCCATTTTGCAAGCTTTTACTTTTGATACTGAAAGTCTTATTTTGTTAATAATGCTTTGAATTACAAGTAAAAACCTTCTTTCTTTCATCAATGATTATATTGGAGAGATTCAGCAGAAACTTTTACATCTTTGTTGAAGTGAAAAAAACATCTCAATTCGGATTTTTTTGCACTTGTGAAGACTATAGTCTATAGTTTAATTTTATTTTGGTTCTGGCTCTGATGTGAGATTCAATCTGCACCGGTCATGAATAAACCCTCTTTAAAAATGAGGTTTAATACTTCACATTAATTACTGTTCTTTCCACTCGGCTCGACTAAAGCTGGTTTTTACGTGCTGCCCTGAACGCCGCGCGGTACCTCGACTCGTAGACGAAGGCAGGAAAGTGAACAAGAAAGACAATTTTTGGGTACAAACAGGAGAATGACGATGCATTATTCATGGTTACAACATCAGAAAGAAGGAGGAGAGTGTGGGCCGGGCGCACACAGAAAACAGGACACCGTGGGTGTCAGAGAAGATGATGCAGGAGGGGGAGGTGGTGGTGGTGGGGGGGGGGGTGCAGGAACCGAGAAGAGGGGGAGGAGGGGTTTTGTTGGAGAGGTGGAGGGTAGATGGCATTCTCCGATGGTGCAGACGTGCTGTGGGGAGTGTATTAAGAACTTGGAGGTATATTTACATTTTCTGCGTCCTCCCTCACCTCGAGAGTACCCCGCTTGGCCGGGTTGAGCACCAGGAAGCGTTTGAGGAGGTTCTCGCAATCCGTGGACATGTAGAAAGGGATGCGGTACTTCCCTCTGAGCACACGCTCACGCAGCTCCTGCAGGGAGGACGACGACAACCCGGAAGTTAATAAAACACTTAAAACGTGCAACGTGTCACATTTTTGTTCTGCGAAACACCTGAAGAAACTGACAACTGGATGCTTCATGCTGGAGGAAATGTGCTTCAATGTGTTCTTTCACTAGAGTCAAATATAATCTCATTTTAACTACTTAACTACAACTTTAAGAGGTGGCGATTGCCAACAGATTCAAAGGGCTACTGGACAATTTGGGCACAAAGACCTGAAGGTTTACTCTCATAGTAACCTGTTGAAATGTGTATTACCATCTACTCATAGTCTCAAACGTCCAACAGCAAAAAACATACAGACTCCTATCACTCAAGTGGACCTTGCATAAGCACAGCAAAGTACAAAAAGCATGTTTCAGATATTAAAGTGTTTCGAAAGTAGACTTCCCTGACAAATACACAAAATACCTTACATCACAAACTAAATCAACAATGACAAAAAGGTATTTGTAGATAAGATCAGGTGATAACATAAAGCATGGTAACTGTATCCTACCTTGAGGTTCTGTCCGTCGAAGGGCAGCGAGCCGCTGACCAGCGTGTACAGAATGACCCCCAGACTCCAGACGTCCACCTCCGGCCCGTCGTACTTCTTCCCCTGGAAAAGCTCCGGCGCCGCGTACGGCGGAGAACCGCAGAACGTGTCCAGCTTGTTGCCCATCGTGAACTCATTGCTGAAGCCGAAATCTGCGATCTTGATGTTCATGTCTGCGTCGAGGAGCAGGTTCTCTGCCTGGAGTACGAACACATTAATGTCAGCGTTTGTTTGGCTGCTAACGTTAACAGAAACTTTATTTTCATTATTGATTAACCTATAATTTCGTGTTTTTAACTAATTGATTAAAAGGAATAGTTCGATCTTTTGGGAAATGCTCTTATTCTATACATAATCTATCATAATCGGTGAGCTTTAGAGGTGCTGGTGTGTGTGCTTTGATACGTTTGGAGCCAGGGTTAGTCTTTCTGCTAAGCTAAGCGTCTGCAGCTTCATATTTTATTGCACAGACATGAGAGTGGTTTAAATCTCTTCATCGAACTCTTGGCAAGAAAGTGAATGAGAGTGCACTTCTCAAAAAGAGGAACTATTAATTTAATTGTTAATTATATAAACTGCCAGAAAATTGTAAAAAAAAAAAAAAAAATATATATATATGATGCCAATAACAAGCTACGAGAGTCGAAAGTGACGTCTTCAAATAGCTTTTGTTCCCGAGCAACAGTTCAAAACCCAAATGTATTCAATTATCAACAATATAAAACCTTTGAAAAGCTGGATCTAAACAATGTTTGATATAATTTATGTTGCTTTATTAATTGACTGCTCTAATATTCACTTTTCCAAACCCAGAGTGATCTGCTTTGATACAGTCTGATCTAATACAACAGTTAACGTCTCGTTTTCCTTCTGCGATTGAAAGTGTTCCAACACAGTCGAGGATTTCAACTCAAACATCTGCTCGCTGCTCACACGCGGCTGTAGGCGAAAGACTAATTAGGAAGCTGAAGCAGAGAGAGAGAGCCGAGAAATCTTCCACTGAGCCGAAAGGACCGAACCCGGCAACCTGAGAGGCTTTCAGCTGCTCGTGAGGGGTAAACAACACTGACTTGCAACGTGTCTGACCGATCGACGGCAAAAGAAAACATCTAACGTCAGTGGGAGACAGGAGTGAAGCCCTGAGAGTAAATGAAATGAGGCTACAAGCCCACAAGGGATTGTGGTTCATTTGATGGTTAAAATTTGACCTCTCCACAATCACACCTGCGACACACGGACACGTCGACAAACACACAGGGAGAAGACACTGCTCTCACGTCCTCATGGATCATTCATGAAGCTCCACACAGGAAATGGTTTAGACATGCAGCAAGATACACGGGCTTCTCTTAGCTGAGCGACTCCCACTGACAGGGAGGGAGGGAGGGAGGGAGGAGGAAGGGATAAAAATACAGAAGCATCAATATTTATACTCTGGGAGAAGTAAAAAGCGCGTCACGGCTGCAAAATGAGGAGAGGTGGTCCATTTACGCTACGACGGGTGATGTGGCGCAGAACATGTGAGCGGTTAAGAGAGGGCCGCCTAATTTGTGGCGTAAGGATACGTTTTTAAAAAAAAAAGGAGACAGCAGAGTGGAGCCTCATTAGCAGCGTATGCGGCATTTTTTTGGAATTGGATGTTTGGAGTCGTCAGTGGGAATATGGGAGTTAAGAGGAGAGTCATAAAACACGTAACACTGACGTCAGCTCCCTGCTCTGACCTTTCCATCCGAAATGAGTCAGAGGTAATTAGCCTCAACGGTGGAGACACTTACACTCACTTAGACGCTAATTTAAACCCTTCACAGGGCCGCTGATTAACATGGATACGACTAAAAATGTGAAGTAATTTTAGTTCTATACGGCAAATTAGCATCTTAAATGTGAACTTTCCTTTTTCCTGCAGCTGCAAACGAGAGTTAAACACATGGAGGAAAATCTCTGACGTTAAATTAAAATACTCAGATATCCTCAATCTGTGATCAAAGCTGGTAAATCTGAACGTTCAGCTGATGTGTGTGAACCAGACGAGGCTCACTCGTTTAATAATGTTAAATCAAAATGAAAATGAAATGCATTTTGTTTTATATCATGATGGAAGATGGAAGGTTATTTTGTACAACAACCTCTGCATCATATAGACGGAAATTAAACAGTTTTAATCCCACAAATATCAAATAAAAACTATAAAATATAACAAAAACAAGGTGAAACTGTATAAAGAAACTCAGTTATAAGTGTTTTTATGTTCTGTTTCTGCTTTACTTTATATTCTTTGGTTTAGGAACATGTACAGTATGAGATCCTTTGAAAATAATGTATTTTTGTGTGTCACGTAATTGCGTGTGGGATGGACCGTTGCACTCATATGGCACAAAAATTAATCAATTAATCTGTTTGGTCCTTAAGAAGTCCCAAAGCCTTGGCTGGCATACTTTAAATTGCCTGTTTTGTGTGACCAGTAGCCAAAAACATAAAGATTTTTGTTTAATATCATAAGAAAACATGAAAATATTCATATCCTAACCCATCAACCAGTAAATTTAAGTTTAAAAATGGACTCCAATTAACTTATCATCAAAAGAGTTGCCAATTAATTTTCTGTTGATTAACTAGCTGTAATTCTACTTAAAGTTGAACCTATTTCTGTTGTTTTCATTTGTATTTATTAATAACTGCTGCTCATATTTGATACAAAGGCTTATTGTTGTTGTTGTCTTTGTTATAATACTTTAATAACCAAATGTTGGCAGAAACATATACATGTACAATAAAAAAAACTCTTAAACTTTTATTGTCTGGACTCTAAATTGAGGTAATTTTCAGGGTTTTTCTTGTTAAATTCTTCAGCCTTCACTGTGGTTGGTAATTGCCTACATTTCACCAAAAGCCCTGAACTCCAGACAACACAGTGATGTTGCTGATGATAATGGCCGCACACTTTTGAACAACCCAATCATGTGGCTGCGTTGCTTTCAGGTCGATTGAAGCAGAATAAAAGTTGCCTCAGCCTCTTTTTCTGAAATAATCTTCCTGCTACCGACCGGCGCGGCGTCTCTGAACTCACCTTGAGGTCTCTGTGAACAATGTGCTTCTGGTGGCAGTACTGCACCGCCGATACAATCTGTACGAGGGAAAAAAAAGACAAGCAGAGTTTAGTTAAATGTCTGCTGTTCTGTTCTCAGGCCGTGATAAAAGGATGTGGTGGAGGTGGAGGAGGAGGAGGAGGAGATGTGGTCGACACTGACAGGAAAGATAAAACATAGTGCAGGTGGGGCTGAAGACACCAGAAGGGTGAGAGAGAGAGAGAACAAGTTTCCTCTGCAGTGGCTCATTGTTCATGGATCTGTCTCACAGTGCAGGTAACAGCCTGTGACAGACAGACAGACAGACAGACAGACCGAAATATTGACACCTTTTTTCTTGCTTTTTGTTCAATTTCTAATTCTCTTGCATCTTCAGCTCAGACTTAAATGGGGGGGGGGGGTGTTGAGTGTAAAACTGAACATTCACACGTTCCAGCTCTGTAAGAAATCCCTCTGCTGGCATGAACACATTCAGAGTTCCTGTTATTGCAGTACAATCATCCACATTTGTTTCTTTTGTGTTTAAAAAGGCAATATTTCCAATTCTACACTGCTGCTTAAAAAAGGTTCATAAAGTAGAAGAGCAAAACTAAAGAAGGTCGATTCTCATTTACCAATCACTCTGTTTTAAATTCTGCTTGCTATGCATGAACCACAGTCGCCTTTAAAACCTTTTTTTTTAATGTTTCAGGAATGAGAAATACTGAAAAGCTTCCTTACAAGGAACTTTTTGTTGATTCTTGCAGCTCCTGTGGACAAAAACGCCTGGTTTCATTGATTTCAAGGGGAATCCGACTAAAATCCGAGCCTTGTTTGTTTATGTAGGTCATAAAGAGGAATTAGTATTAAACTAACCAGTTAAATACTCCTTGTAGTAAGTTTACAGCGGCTTTACAAAGGTACGGTCACATTAGCCTCCCCAACAACAAAACTGCCTGTCAAAATCAACATTTAGTGAAGTGATCACAAGCTGTAAACAATCCGTGGGAGCCAATGTTTCAGCGTGATACTGTACACAATAAACACGGTGATAACACCCACTACAATGATGATCATGTCACTTTCACAATACCCAATGCATCACTGTTTCTACTGGCTGACTGTGCACATCCAATCGGTCAAAGTTGAACTGTGAACTGACCCTTGACCAACTGCAGATTGCACCAAAACCGAAAACGGGAGGGAGACGGAGCATTCTCAGGCAGGAAGTGTACGTTGGAGTGCTGATGACAGTTTTGTACAACTCACAAACGATGACGCTTTCATTTTGTGGTTTGAATGAGTGTTTCCGTGTGACACTGACTCTATGCGATGGGTAATTTTGGTGTCTGTAGAAGTTTTAAACCCTCCTTTCAGCACATAAAGTAGTTAAATGTATGGCCAGTTTCTAATCATCACATAACACTCATTGACTTTGAACTGTGTGACAGTTGTTGAGGTGGTAAGTGATGGGGGAAGAGGCAGGTTTGGACATTTCTCATCAGTCTTTAGACAACAGAGACAGGGTTTTTTTTTTCTTCCCAGAAGCGGGACAGAGGACAGCGACCTGTCTGAGGTAGAGCCGAGAGCAGAGGTGTGAAACCAGAACACTGCAGGGGGAGAAAGCTGGGTACCTGTCTAAATTTAGCTCTGGCCTCTTTTTCCTTCATTCTTCCATGTGCAACCAGGTAGTCGAAGACTTCTCCTGCAAAAAGAGACAGAGACAGAGAGAGAGAGAGAGAGAGAGAGAGAGAGAGAGAGAGAGAGAGAGAGATTAGAGAAGTATAAGAAACAGAAAGCAATGAATGAGAAGGAAAAGACACAGATGCAAGGTGAAGAGAAACAAAAAGTGAGTCACAACTTAAAAATAAAAATAAGCCAACAAAAATAACTTCAGGATGGACTTCTTCTATGCAGCTGGCCTGCACAGTCACCCATGTGCATGGTTCGAGGGTGTTTCTTGACCATATTGGGGCGAGCGTGGGGCTGCTTCCTCCACACTGAGCCTCTCCTGGAGGCACAAAGCTGCTGCCGCTGCCGAGCTCGGCTCCAGCAGCGGCCCCTTTTTCCTTCCCTCGGCCCACACTTCTGCACACTCCCAGCCAAAACGTGACTACGCTCGCTCGTGTGCTAATTGAGCTCGAGTGGCTGGCGTATGTATGTGTGTGTGTGTGTGTGTATCCATACCAGGGCGAATAAAAAAAAAAGGAACTAAACAAAATAACAAGCAACAAAAAAAACAGCCTCCCCCACTTTTCCTGAATCCTCGAAGCCCTCCCACTCTCTCTGCAATGACCTGCAGAGGCGGTCAGAGTGTACGTTTCTATACTTCAGAGCTCTAGAAAAGCAACAATTCATCGGCGCTCTCTGACTCAACCGCTGAAGACAGAATGTGCCAGCTAACACTTTGCATGTTAGAACTAAAAGGGCACAGCGTGTGCCGTACATGGGGATGAGATTTGGGAACAAAACTGGGAAGTAGGAAGAAAATTGTAACCTTGCTCGAGGAAAAATGGGCCGTTTAAAAATGTTTGGATGATTGTACGAATGTGAAACTGCAGCATGATATTACTGAATTATTAAACAGTGCTGAGGAGACTTCTTGAGCCACATTGCCCCACAGATTGCTCCCGTTTGAATACAATTAGCTCTGATCCAGTAACGTATACTAACATGGATCTCTGCAAACTGGAACATCTCAGTCAACGATCTGAGGTAAAAAGTTAGAAACTCCTTATTGGACTGTAAAGTGGGGGAAAAAACAACGCCTACAGCCACACTAGCAGGTCTGTGAGGCTGTGTTTAGGAGCCAAATGCAAACACGCTCCACTGACAATGCTCACATACTGATGTTAAGCAAGTATAATGTCTTGGTTTTGCACGATAGCATGCTAACAAGCACAGCTGAGGCTGGTACTTGGATATAAAACAGGAACTGATGATGGTGTTACTAAAAACTAAAAAAACAAAAAAATATCAAAGGTATAACAATTCCTCCTGAGGGGAGTCACGGATGTCTCAAAAACTGAACTTCAATGCAATACTAGTATAAAAAAAAAGATTCTTGATACCTCAGCAAAAAGAATAAAGTCCTAGGCACGCACAAATCTTCCCTCTTTTTCCTAAATGAACAACCTGCTGGTAGAGAGAAAGACTCTGAGCATACATCGAGGATCAGTTAGAACCAACATGAACTCATTTCTAGCTGGTTGCTTCTAATGGGACTATTTTAATTCTGCTTCCTTCTCCACCTTATTTCAATGTTTACTCAAAAAACTAGTTTAATCTGCTCACCTTGCTGTTCCCCTTTATGCACACACCCTCCACCTCTGCACACAGTAACACTAACTCGCCTCTTTCTGTCTCTCTCTCTCACTCTCTCCCCCTCCCTCCCTGTTGTGTGTGTCTGCTCTGTTGACCTTCAGCAGTATTTTCTATAAAGTCGGCCAAAAAAAAAAAAAAAACCTGTGGTCCCGTTTTCACAAGAGCAGGTGAGTCGACTCCCTCAATCACTCGCTTATTGAACACAATACCAGATAGCGTCTCTCTCTCCCTGCAACAGAGCAGGTGTGACGGTCAGTAGATGGCACCGGAGGGGGAGAGCGAGGGGAGATTGTCAACTAGTTATCGATTGCAGATGGATTCGTTCTGATTGTAGATCTGTTTTTTTTTTTAATAAGTTTGGTACTTTTTATAGATTGTATTGTTTTAAACATGTGGGATCAAATAAGTGTCGATACTTTTGACAACTTCAGTCCATCCAGTAGTTGTTGAGATATTTTAGTCTGGGCCAAACATCCACAATGTCACCCCAATCAAAGACGGCCGCAGGGCTGCAGTTTAACCTCCAGCCACCAGTGAAAGAACCGTTCTTTAGTACGTTTTGTATCGACTCTATTGGAAGAATCATCTCTCTGTTCGGATAAATAATGTTTCTTATTACTTTACATCTGTCTGACAGCTTGTAGGTCAGCGGGAACGTTCCCAATCGTGAGCTGAGTTTGTATTTTCATCATTCCTCGAGTAACTAACTTCATTACCGGCTCTGTGACTGAAATATACAAGTTCTGCAGAGATCCTGAATCAGGGCTAGAAGACGGAGAGCTGAAGGGGGTCGCCTTGAGATTCTGCCCGAATTCCAAGAAAATCAATCCGAAACTGAAAGAAATATTAGATTTATTTGTACTAAAGATTTAATGCAATTGGCCTGTGATCAGAGCTTCCATCTCAGCAGTAATGTGATTTTTTGCTCCTCAGTGAGTAGATCTTCACAATTTGTCGTCTCTGCTTGGCTCAGCGGTCCAAACGTGACCTTTCCAAGAAATCAATGACAAGCTGAGCCTTTCAGGGCCTGTGTGACGCTGGGTTATAAAAAAGGAGGAATTAAAAGGACGCTTTTATTATAAGAAACCTCTAAAATAAACTAAACCGGTGTAAAGAAGCTGGAGCTCTCACATTCGGAGAATATAAATTAGATTTTCCTGTTTTGTAGTTATAAATATGGACACTGACACATGCAGACAACTCCTAAGATGATAATGACATTGAAATGTCAGTTCCTGGCAGTTACTGAATAAAGACAAAAGTGTTTGTCTCTTTACATTTTAGTCCATCAGTTGGAAGCTTTTCCTGGAAATGTTTTTGTAACAGTTGCTTTAGTTAACGAGCCTCCCTCCTTATTCTTCCTCTTCCTCTGCTGTAACACACAGTCACTCATCTGCAATACGTAACTGCGAGGACAAATTTGAAGCTAGTTTACAGACTCCTCCCTGGAAGTTCACTTAGGGGAGGAAGAGTGTTATATCCGTGTATCCGGGGTGATCCTGAACACACAACTTAATGAAAAATATGGATGTTGATTTAACAGCTTTTAGTTTCAGACAGGCAGAAATCCACGCAACCGATGGGAGTCGATCAATGTATTGTTCCTGCTCTGACTGGTCTCTGTTTGTTTCCACTGGACTGATTCGTGTCTCTGCATCGAAAGATATTAATATTGTTTGTGATATTGTGTCGATTCTCAAAAACAACGTAGACAGTGAAACAAATGCAGGTCCAACTGGTTGCATTAAAAATCACAATATATTGAATCGTAACCCAGTATTGTGATATGTATTCTTGCCAATACACAGCCATAGTCACCATCCTGGAAAAGAAAATACGAACTACTACCTACAATAATATATATGAATATTAGTAGATGGCAGCATCAACAAAAAACGTTTTAAAGTGCTTTAATTCTCAAGTCAAGAGATATTTTGTGATATGCTGCTTCAAGTTATGGACCCAACGTCATGTCCCATATTCTCTCTAAGTAACAACAACTTATTCAGTGTACATCAACAGTACGAGTCATCTCTTTACACTCAATTATTCAAAGTCTGTTTAAAAGATAAAAACTGTAAATAACACTTGAGACGAAGATTTGTGTTCCTCTTCAGCTGTGCTTTCAGACAGAAGAAGTCTACAGACTGTATCCTGCTCCCAACGTATATAAATTATTAACGCGCACATTTAATCACATTTGGAGTTAATAAATCATACTTGGGACCTCGGGAGCAGCACACAGTGTGCCGACTTCTACCGACTATATCTGGTGTTATCTGGAGATATGGTTGCAAAAATGTTACTCTCGTTCTTTTTAAGTTTACAGTTTCATTTACAGTCCACCTTTGTTTGTACCATCAGCTGTTTCACGTTTAAACCTCCACGTGAGGACGACTAGTACCTTTTAAGGTCAAGGAAACTCTGTTATGAGGCTTATAAAACAATTAAAACAAACATGAGGTACAAAGTTTGCAGCAAACAACATGACAATTTAATTTCTGTCTCACCTCCACTTGCATACTCCATCACCAGGTAGAGCGTCCTCTCCGTCTCAATCACTTCAAAAAGCTTGACTAAGAGAGAGAGAGAGAGAGAGAGAGACACACACAGACAGAGAGAGAGGAAATTATAAATTCAATTATGTCTAAAGATTGGGGAGGTGGGGGGAGTCAGACAGACACAGTAATGAATTCATGGACACAAACACCAAAATGTTTCCAGACAGACACCTAGAGAGAGACCGGGGGGGCAAAGAGAAGTCACATGGATGTGTGTGTTCGTGTCGTGACCGTGTGAGATCAGCATCGAGCCCAGCTTAGCAGCACTCGATATTTACCGCACAGTCCAAAAAGCTGCAGCGTGTTCGGCTCGAGGATATAAAAGAGTGTGTGATGAGCGGCTGAGGGCTGCGCTGCTAAATATAGACAAGGTGGGATGGAAGACAATGAGAGAGAGGGGAGAGAGGGGAGAGAGAGAGAGGTGGAGACAGACTGTGTACGGGCTGGTGAGCGGCTTACTATCACCCCTCGTAATTATAATCACATTTCTGCAGAGGAAATCATGGAGCGCGAGGAAAAAAGGAAATTAAAAGTAATTAGCGGGGAATCCCGTCTCCGAAACCTGAACGCACCGCGGCGGCAGGAGTGTCTGGTGTTGCACGCTGACGCTTATTTATGTGTGTGCAAACTATTTCACAAACAGGTAAATGAGGAGAAAATGAGTGTTTGGAGCCTTGATTTGGCTTTTTTTTAAACAGGGTACGTCGGCCCTTATGAACACAACTGAAGCTGAAACTATTAGTCGACTGGTTGAAAAATAATCAGCAAAAAAGTCAAATATTTGCTGACTCCAGCGTCTTCAATGTGACAATTTGCTGCTTATTAACTAGACATTTTTACTATATTTCAACCTCGGCCGCAGTATTTTTAATTCATTTATTGTATTCAAAGATTATTTTTTAGCATTTGTGCCTTTATTGGTCAGCTGACAGTGAAGCTGAGGCAGGAAACAAAAGGGAGAGACAGGAAAATAAAACATGTTTCTAATAAAATAATTACTATTTATCTTTTTATGTGTATTCTTTTCACCTTTTGTGAACCATTTAATCTATGAAATATGCTGGATGAAGAATGTTGTTTTAATAATAATACTTTCTTCTTCTTGTCTTAAGTTAAATCAATGAACTAAATATCTTCTTGAAGTTGTATTTTATGTACATTATAAGCGTTAGTTGTGAATCTAAACACCAGCTGATCGAGGCCACGCTGCTGTTTCCCGTCTCTCTGCTCGTGTTTGAAGCCTTCAGCAGCTGAGGTTTTTCATGACATTGGCTTCGTGTTCCTGCAGTGGTTTGGTGTTAGTTGGTATTTCCTCTCGCAGCTGGCAGTGCGATGCCAAAGTTTCTACTGCTCCAGGCAGTGTGCTCGCTTTGTTTATTGATCGAAAGCGCTTCATTTTCTAATCCCAAAACAAAAAGCAGGAAAGAATGACCCTCCGGTTTTCGGTCACAGTTACAGAGGACGGTAGCAATCAAGTTAGCCAGACAATGAAATGTTCCAGGTAATTTGTCTAAACATTATTTCATGTTATAAAACTTTAAAAAGCAGTTTTTTGGCTGCAGTGTTTCTCCTTTCCCTCTACATTGAGGTGGCTGCCACATTCACAGAAAACCTTTACATTTGCGAGGACGGTTTGATTTTAAAGAAAGCTCCACCGACTCAGTAATCTGCTCTGAACCAAAAACAAACATAAGAAAGGAACAAAAAGCTTTAAACAAGCTGATGAAATACAGGCTGGCTGCATGCTGCCGGTTCATGTGACTCTCCAGTAACAGAAAGGTCAAAGGTTAGAGCGCTGCAGCAGACATCAAACCCCCGACTGGAATCACATGTTAATGATTGAGGAAGTGAAATCTTCCCTTCTAGCACGACAATATTTCTAAATGTCAGAATTTACATGAGTGGAAATTCAAATGTAGCACAAGTGTATCTTACATCACTATTATCAGTATGTATGTTTAACTATCTAAAGTCTTAAACCTCATGTGAACGGATGCCGTTAGTGCTGATGTGTGTGTAAGAGCCACTCACCTATATTGGGATGATTCAAGATCTTCATTATTCTAACTTCTCTGAAGAGCTGAAACAAAAAAGGGAAAAGAAATGTTTACAGTTCGGTTTCAAGATTCAATACTTTGTTGACATTTTGACCCAGTTAGAAGGAATATTTCTGCTGTGTAAAAACAAAGCACAGGGACAGCACATACAGTAACAACACCGACAAATACAAAGAACTACGATATTGAAAACGGGGAATAAATATGACTGAGCTGTTTACACACAAGTTCCTAAAGTTTTAACCAAAGTGCACGGACTGCCCGGTTACCATAGGGTGTACTTGTTTGTCTGTACAGTTGGAGCACTTTGTGTGGAAATTAGTATGCACACAAACCATCTCAGTGGACTTTTTGGACTATTTTCAGAGTGTCAGCCTGTCCTATTTCTTCATGACATGAAATATACAACAAAACGAAGGAAACTGAGGGAAATACAGCGTCAAACAAATACGTGTAATAGGAGTAATTATTCCACATGTGGAAGTATTTCGAGTCACATTAATTCAACAGCAGCAAGTACAGAGTTCATGATAATAATAAAGTAAGTTACTTATTAAGTGGCGTTTCCATAAAACATGTAACCTCCATGTCACAAAGCAATAATTATTTAATTTTAAAAAGGATTTTCAGATTAGGTGCACACAGATTACATTAATTTATAAACGGCAGTTCACAGTTTTCCTCATCACATTCCTGATGATTGAGGAAACACGTCATCAACACTGCAGCTCTTAATCTTATTCAGCTCCTAACAGGAGATCATGGGTTCAGAAACCCAAACACTGATCCTCGTGTTGTGCCAACATCAACACATTTTAAGGAAATGTGATCGTTTTTGTCTCCGCCGGCGCGTCATCGCAAAACAACAGGATCTCCTGTAGCACGGCGTCGGTTTCCACCAGCCCCCCCACGACCCCTGCAGCAGGGTCGGGAGGGGGATCTGAGCCCAGTTAAACATGCACCATCACATCTACCCACCACCTCCCCCCCTCTGTGCACTAATAACAAGACACTCTGTGAACACACGCTCTCTTCCCCATCAGCATTCACAGTGACCGGACAGGCAGATTTGTAACGGCCAAAAGTGCTTTTAGGTCTTCTGCTGTTCGAGGCACAAAAAGAACTGAGCGCCATTTATTATTGATCCACTGTTAACTACACCTCGCTCTCCCGTCCCCGCTCTCCTCCCTTCCATAAAAATATAAAAAGGCATCAATCTTTCATGAGGCGGGAGTAGCCGCAGTTCGGTAGTTTGGCTCACTGACGAACAAAATGTAAAGGCTGTGTGCAGCTGGAAAACCCACACGGACACAAACACCTTCCATTAAATGAACAAACACATACAGAACGTGTAGATTTTAACAACCTTTACATCATCAAAGCACAAGTTTAAGTCATCGGAGGTGAAAATCTCGTCGAAATTGTTAAAGAATATCCATCTGAACCATAAATAATAAGATAAAACAGCATGTTTTTAAAGCTGTATGCTGACATTTTTACTTGTTTACAACATAAATTATTTTCTGACTGACATTTCTTTTCCAATTGAATTGATAAATCGTTTCAGCAGCACTTTTTAAGACCTTTCTATACCTTTACTTTCACATCTTATTCAGATAATAGATCCCACGTTCATCCTTCTGCTTCCCCAACAATGAATGTTCTACTGTAAGTACAGTAGAATAATCATTTAGTCTATGAAATGGTAAAAATAGTTATCAGAGCTCTTAAATTTGCTTATTTTGACAAAACTTTCACAAAATTCAATTAACAATCATTTGAAAAAATAACACCAAGCAAAAATCCTCCAATTTTAAAGCTCAAACCATAAATATTTGACAAATTTTACTCACATAAGGTTATGAATTATTAAAACTGTCAAAAGAAATTCTGCTGATCAACTAATCACTGATTGATAAATATCAACTCTTTATTCTGACAGACAGCTGAAACAACTCAGTAAATCCTTTTCAATTTGTGCTTTTTGCTCAATTATCCTTCTGATAACCGAACTGTTCTTTAAAGAATACATAACCAATGAATGTATTGATTACTTATGTGACTAAGGAAAGGCAACCACTCTTTTGTTAAAGTCTGTAAAATAATGACAGATGCCAATCGCAAGTCATCAGAGCTCAAAATGAGACATTAATGTTGCTGATTTTGTTTAAAAATACCAAAGTTTAATTAATATGCAAAGAAAATGGAAAAAAAAGACAACCAAGGAAATACTTCCACAGCTATTTTTACATCTTCAACCCAAATGTTTGACACTTTTACGTAAAACAAAATCAATAACAACTATCAGGTTTGTTTCAGTTGATCGACTAATCACTGAATTGACAAATTGTTTCAGCAGCACCGACTTCCCTTCGTCATTTTACTTCAAAAAGTAATAATCATAAAGTGAACGAATCTCATCCAGTTAATAAATCGTTGCTTATTTGTGCTTCTTCTTTTTTCCCCCCCTCTCATTTATCTCCGAGCTTTAATCTGTTCCCTCAGTGGGGAGTGAAATAAGCGACGCCAGTAAAGCGAGTCGGGAGTCTGAGCGACACAACAACAAAAAACAAAGGTTCGCTGACAGACTCGAACCCACGGCGCCGATCCACCGGGTCGCCCCGATATAAACTCCTTCTGTCCTGAACCCTGGACCGCCGGGTGTCTGCCTGAGAGGCAAACAGATGGTGACAAACAGCGGGGTGATGTTTTTACGCTCGGTACCGCTTCAACACGCGTGGTTACACAATGCTGTAAAAATGTTATGTTGAGATTAAATGTCCAGTTTCACACTGACCCCCCCCTCTCCCTCTGCACACTCTGGTTGTCCACCGTCTGTACATTTCTGTTCTTGGTTGTTTGAGGTAAAAACACACACTGTTATTAATCCAGTCACACACTCATTTAATGGCTGTGTCACGAGGCTCTGATGGCCGAGCGGTTTAGGACACCGACCACGTTCTCACAGCAGCCCCGGTTAGTACCAGAGAGACCAAACAGGATCCAGGAAGTCCAGTTTGAGCAACAAATCCACGTTTTATAAGGTTTATAAGAGAACTGTGCACTGCGCAGTGGTTTATAAAATGATCTTTACTGCTGTTGAGAGTTACGATGGCAGCATTTTTTTATCTCTGAGAGCAAAGATTTAAAAGCAAACTGTAGAAATATGGTGTTTAGGTTATAAAGGAATCTACCAGGAATGCAAAGTTGCACGTATTAGCACCTCGCTGGATCATTTAAAAGTTGAGCCTGGTTCAACCTTTTTTTTTTATTGTTGCCAGAGCCCTTTGTGTTGGCAGCGCACCCCCGACAGAGTGGTTTTATTGAATGAACGATGGGAATCTTTGTTGTGTGTCGCTCCTTCTCTCTCCTCTCTCTTCCCGTCACCTCTCTACTGTGAATTAGCAAAATTAAAATCCCACAAAAAAAAAAAAAAAGGTATAATGTGGGAGCTGTTGAAGGCATTCTGGGAAGTGTACTAAAATGAAGCAGGAAGGGGTTAACCACACAAGCTTATCAATGCATTTCATGAGAGAACAACAAGTTGAACAGACTAGATATTTGTCAAATGTGTGAACATTTCCTTCCTCAGACAAATACTGACGGTTTCAGTAACATTACAGTGAAATAGTGCCGGAACAAATAGTGGATAAATCAAATTAGAGGATTAGTTGTTTAACAGAAAATGATAATGAATTAATCCTTTATGACAAACTTTTCTTATGAAAATAAAAAGGATTTGCTGTATGTCTGACTGATGAGCTGACAATGTTAAGCACTGTGAAGACATTATTAGGGTGATAAGAACTTTTTCCACTTCAAGCGAATAAAAAATTAAATTAAACTTGAGTTGCAGCCCTCATTTGATCTTATAATTATGAGATTTTACTCGTGATAATGCCATCTCACTGCATCTTTCTGTTTCTGTCTAGAAAGCAGCATAAAAGCAACAAAAAAAAGGGTTGTAAAGATGATAAGTATCACTATATAGGTATCACTTCAAGTTATATGACTTCTGAATAGTAATTTAAACACTCAGAAGCTGCAGGGGAACGCCGGCTGTGGGAGGAACTCCGATAATAAATCTCATTTCATTCTCGGTTCAGAGACGACTGAAGGGTTAATTATGAACTCCGGTCAGCGGAGCCTTCAGGACCGAGTCGACCGTTTTGGAAGCCATGTTAACAAACTGGCTGCTGACGAGGAGGAGGAGGAGGAGGAGGATGAAGACGAGCTCTGTAGTGAGCCTGAGGTCTCCTCACTGTCATTACACTCTGCCTGTGATCCCGCTCTGCCCATCATTATACTGAAAATACTCTCCTGAGCGCTCAAACTACAGACGAATAAATCTGAGCTGGTTTTCGCTGCAACAGAAGCAGGAACTTTATCTTTGCTGATTACTAGACAGAACCAGCGGCTCTGAACAAACAGACAAACATCCTTTAAAAAGGAGTTAGATTGTCAGTCTGAGACCAACTCCTTTTTTTTTTTTAAACTCAGCGACTTTGTAAAGTCTTTGACACGCTCTGTGCTGTCCTACATAGCAGGAAACAAGCCTTTTTGACACCTGGGGAGGATGAGAAACAACAAACCAACAAGTGTATGGGAATACTTTGTCAGGTATGTTATGCAGTAAACAGCACACGAGGGAGACGGATGATTCACCACATAATACAACCATTAAGGTCGAGAACGTAAACCTGCTGGTGATCCAGTCATACCACCGCAGTGATGCACAGCTGTCCCGATTACGCAACCTGTCTTGTGATCAATACGAAGCACCTTCAGGACAAATGACACACAGTTTAAAGGGAGGAAGGGGAGAGATCACACCTACAGGCAGCTCGAGTAGAGAACCTCCCCGAGCTGCCTCAATTACAACTGATCCAGAGGCTTGTAAATAAAAGTCCTGCAGGCTTCTCCATTAGATCATTTACTGCATGTTTCTGGTTAAAACTTCCATCCCACCAGGTCAGAGACTTTTAGGTGAGTCACAACAAACGGGATTGCAGCCTCTGCAACAACGACTAAGAGTGATGGATGTCTGTGCACTTCCTGTAATTGACCCCCTGGTGTTTGTTTCAGTTAAGAGAAGAAAGAAAAATATCCAGGCTGCAGTTTTTAGTAGTACATTCTGTTACACTCGGCGCAGGTTGTTTGGTCTGAAGCTCGACTGTTATTGTTCCCATCTGGACAAACAAAATCAACCTGAGGGAACAAACGCTGGTTTGTATTAACTGCTCCAATCACACCCAATTTAGGACATTTACGGAGAGGTTAGTCTGAAGAGACGCCGGCAGACTTTAGACTTTAACTTTTGCACCGAGCTGTTGAATTTTCTCAGTGCAGCTTTGTTGCCTTTTGTGGACCATTAATGAGTTTCCCTTCGTTACTGGTTGCGTTTGTAGTTCAGTTGCAGTTGGATCAATAAGTCGTTTCAGAGATTGTTTCTTTGATTGTTTTGTTTTAATGTTTAGAGCCCTGAAGAGGTAAAAACTGCACAATATTTCACAATAACACAATTGTGTGAGGCAGAATTTCTACTCTGGAAATAATTTTGTTACTGATCTTGTAGATTAATCAATGCAGCTGGAAACCATCTGATAAACAGCCAACACAATACTTTCCTTGCCAATTACAAAACAATACTTTATTTTCTTCCAATCTGAGAAGTTTTTATACAAAACGTTTCTCTAAAAGAAGCCAAAGTTCAACAACATATCAGCACTAAATGCCGTCTTAGCGTAGCAGTCTGTAAACAGTTAATCAATTAAACATCCAACTCTTTGGTTCCAGCTTCTCAAATGGGAAGATTTGCTCCTTTTCTGTCTTATAACATTGTGAATTGAATATATTTAGACTTCATCTATTCACAATATCTATTTTAGTCTGCTGCTTGGACACAAAAAGCAATTCAAAGATGTCACCTTGAGCTCTGGGAAACTGTGACGGGCTTTGTTTTCTTTAGTTTATATAGACTTTTATAGAATTTATCAAATAAAGAAATACTATACAAATCAAAAGCAGTAATCAGAAGTACTATAAAAATAACCTGGAACTAGTTTAAAGATGATTTAAATCACAATATATATCATTAAAAGTTCAATACAAAGCCAGATTCATGAATGTCAGAGTCTCACAGACTGCAAATATTTGGTTTTTCATATGATAAAAGCTGTTATTTTTTAAATAAAACATCAAGAAAAGCTTATTTTCCCTGTAAGATTAATGCATTTTACGAGGCACTGCGTCGGTTCCTGCCTGCCTATAAGTGACGTTTAAAGGCTTTTAAAAGCTGCTCTACAACCACTTTAAGAAAAGTGAAACCTCAGCACAGGGAGCGCAGGTCGACCCAGAGCATTCGACACACACTGTTTACATTTAATCAAATGTCACACTCCCTTCCCCTGACCTTCGACCCGGACGACAACAAGACAAGACCTCAGCATGGGGTTGAACCAGGACACGGGGAACGAGAGGAGAACAGAGTGGGAGCTGAGAGCAGTTTGCCAGGAGCCAGTGACAGATGTGAACGTCGACTCAGCTCCTCCAAACTATTAAGAACAGAGGCTGAAAATAAACATTTAGGCTTCAGAGACGATATCCCCCGCTATCAGCCTCTCGCCAATTCTTCCAGTTACATAAGAGGTCAGGACACAGCGGTGCCGGCTCTGATGCAGGTTGGTTGTTGCAGCAGCAGCAGCAGCTCAGAGGAAAGAGGAGAGGAGAGGAAAATAAACACGAGATCCTTCAAAACTCATCTGAACCTGAACATCTGATACACATTGCCTGGTGACGTCCAGGCAGTAGATGTTTTAAAAGGATCAGGCTGGCATTTTTCTGTATGTTTCCCTTATTGCCAAAAGAAATCTCTGCGTGCTTCCCCAGCCTGTCTGCGGCTCTCGAAGCCCATTGGTTCCCACTGAAGACGTAAATCTTTTTTTTTTGAGGCTCGGTAATTTGGGGCACTGTAGTTTTTAGCAAATGTTACTCAAAGGGGAGTAGCTGGAGCGTTTGTTGAGGACTATTTTAAGCAAATTAAAAACACATTTGGTGCTCTAGTGAGTATCTATGGAAATGGTGCAACAGTCTGGCTCATTTGTGTAGTTTGTTAATAGTTTTTGGGTGATTACAGGAGGTTTAAAAGGAACGGTCAGATGTGTGGCTGAATATAAAGAACAGTGCAGCGCTTTGAGAAATACGCTTATTTGCTTTCCAGCCGAGAGTTAGAGGAGAAGATCGATAGCACTCTCATGTCTGCCAGTTCGATATGAAGCTACAGCCACCAGCCAGTTAGTTTAGCTTACCAGTACCTCTAATGCTCATTAATTTACACGTTATATCTGGAGAGTAATACCAAAATCTTGTGGTTTATTGGGGGTTATGTGCCGCACTATTTCATATCCTGTCACTGTGAGGTTGCCCAGACTACCCTAGTTTCAGGTCTTTATGGTAAGCTAAGCTAAGTGGCTGCTGGCGTTTTGCTTTCTGTTTACCAAACAGACACGAGAGTGGTATTAACCTTCTCTTCCAACTCTTGGCATGAAGTCGAATCTTCCAAAAATAGCAAACTACTCCTTTTAACACGAGTGACCCTCACAGACATGAAAACCCTTAAAATAAGCCACAAATCTTTTCCACGTCAGGATTTCCTTCAATTCTGAGTATTCAACCCCAAAGAAACACAGAGCTCGTCTATAAATAGACCCACATGACAGGAATGGGAATATTTAATGTGTCAATCATGAAAGAAAAAGCACTATAAAAAGCACTGGGATGTTTGAGAGTCAAGTTCTTAAAATAAACATTAAAAGAAAATCTAAATCCCTGGTGAACGGCAGGAAAAACAACAGGACAAATTCCTCAAAGAGAGTTTTCTTTTTTCCTCCTTTTCTTTGACTGTGACAAAGCAGTAACCTAAAAACAACAAGGATCGCCGACAAAAGCCTCACGCTTTGTGTTTTCCCCGTGAACGGCCCTGTCATGACTCAGTGTTTTTCTGTCAGCGTAGTGTCACAGCCAACGCCAAAGGGCCCGGGCCTCCGAGATACAAAGGCCAGAATCAATGGAGCTTTGGAAAAACTGATGGAAAACCACTAGCCGATCGCTGAGAGGGACGAGAGAGAGAGAGACGACGAGTGGCGGGGGCCGGCTGGACACCAGACACATCATCGCCGTCACCACCAGCAGCCGTCGCCACCGCACGCTACCCCGTCCCCTCTTCTTTTTCTGATGAGACAAAAAAGCCTCCGGAGCTGCAGCAGCTGAGTCGATATCACTCTGACTTCCCCGAAACCACTTCCAGGCCGAGAGACGGAGCCAAAATGTACAGCGGCACAGATCAAAACAACCGCACACTCACACTCACACCACACACACACTCTTCCCTTGCTAATGAGTGTACACAGAATAGGGACACAGGGTTATGGGCAGCTCGTTCTCAACTCACTGACTTCAAACTGTAAAGTGAAACTGCTTTTCACTGGGTAGCAAAAAGGGGAGCATTCACTCTCTCGGCCTCTGAATAATTTGCATTTTAAAAGCAAACCCGCTTCCTGATTTGGTTGATTTAACAAGGAAGAACAAAAACTGTCACTCCCTGTTGCAATGACAACCGAGCAGCATGAACGGGAAGAAGGTGGAAGAAAAATCTGATTTTTTTTAGTTCCTCTTGGAGGTTAATAGATCAGAAAATACCATTAACCACAGTTTCCAGCAATAAGTGTCCAAATGGGACAAATCTAAATCTTAAAAAGCCTTTAAAAAGTGGCCAAAATACTTAAATCAACTTTTCCTGAAGCGGCTCAACAGAAATGCTTCAAACTAAGCCGAACAGATACAAATCTCCTCCTTTTTCAGGCCTTGTGTTTGATCTTAGAGAGTCAAAAGTTCTCATGCAAAACCTAAGTGAAACAGTGGATGCGGAGCTGAATCATCTCCTCCGCTGCAGAAAGCATCACACTGAAATAATAAAAAGCTCTTAACTCTATATGGAGAACACATGCTCACTTCCCAGCATGCCCCGCGCCCCGTTTACACAATTAATACTCAATCTGTCGTGCTTCATGAATTTGTAAACGAGTTCTGCCACAGCGTGAGAAGAGAGAGAGAGAGAGAGGGAAGAGGGGTGCATTACCTTCTGAAGGCTGTTTGGGTTCAGCTGCGTCTTGTCTATTATCTTAATTGCCACCTGTGGAGAGAGAGAGAGAGAAAAAACAGCATCGAAAGTGAGCTAAATGGGACATAACAGCAGGGGAGAAGTGTGAAAAAGAGGAAGTGGAATATGACACTGAAACACAGAAAAGAATACTGACACTGAATTCAATCTTTTTCAGCTGAAAACCATTATTTTTTTTAACACTGCAAAGCCAGTTTCGACTTCCTCCTTCGAAATACGCCAAAAAAATTGCAACTGCCGAATAATTAATAAGAGAATCAGGAGGGGATTGAGGAGGAAAAAAGTGCACCGTGGTTTCTTTTAAATGGCGTACGCCGTGTTATGAAGACGCTTGCTCTTTCTGTTCATCAATTATGAACAAATCAAATGCTCAGCAGCAGCGGTAGCTCGCCCTGAAAACATCCATTACTGCCAGCAAGGTTTAGAGCGATGAACCTGTCGCTGTGTGGAGCTGCCGGGTTTGAAACTCACCCGCTGCCGGAGCCAATAGTTTGGAAAAAAGTTTGGAAAAGATACCTCACGAGAAAGTTCATTAAAAAAAACGCTCTATTTGACTTCAGAAAACAAAATCTGAACAAATCTGACGGGAAAATTCAACGCCAGCTTCTAGTACTTGACAGTTTTCTCACTTTACATTTCAGTCAGTACAAAAGAAGTATTGAGGTATGCCCATCATCATCATCATCATCATCATCATCATCATCATCATCATCATCATCATCATCATCCCCTGCCAGAGACGAGCTCAGAGAGAGACGATGTGTAAAGCTCATTTTAAAAAAGGGGGCTGCAAACTCAGTCTTTGACGTCAATTAACTGGTTTTGTAGTGTTAGTGTAGTGTGTAAGAGAGGTGGTCTAACTTATTTACACTGAACGTCAAAATGTGGCAAAACTTTAAGCAGAGACGTGTTCACGTTGGACAAAAACTGGCTCAAAACATACGTGTAAATCCAGCTGTTTGTGCATCGTAGACACAAGGAAAGGTGGGTTTTCTGTCTGTATGTGTTCTGGAAAGATTGCACACACTTGACTCCTCTAAGTGTGTTTTAAATTGACCTACTTTGTTTCTGTTAATCCAAAAACACAATATTCTTAACCATAGTCCGAAAATTGAAGTTTTGGTTGTTCAAATTCACGAGTTTTATCAATTAAAACACATTTAACCTGATTTTTAAAAGGACAAGAATATGAGCTGGACTCCGAAAAAACTTGACGTCACTCTGCGTCTGCGCCACCAGCTCACCTCTCTGCCGGTGAGGATGTGTCGGGCCAGTTTGACCTTGGCGAAGTTGCCCTTCCCGATGGTTTTGAGCAGCCGGTAGTTGCCGACGTGGGGCTGCTGCGCCTCCTCGGAGCTGCGGGATCGCACGCCGGTCCGGCCCGAGCGCGTGGTGATCTCCTGACGGCCATTACTGTGAGACGTGTGCTGCGGGAGAGACACATTTGTTTTATTTAGACGAGTGCCGGCGGTTGAGTTGTTCAGAAACAGCTAACATGCACCAGCCGTGACTCATGTTGACCCGCTGTGACGTATCCACTCGGGCTCTGCAGAGAAAATGCTGATATTTATAGTTCTGCATCCAGACAGAGAAAGTAGGCTTCTCTTCCACCAGGCACAGATGGCTGATAAACTCCACTTTCACCATTTCATCATGAAAATATCAGAGCCTCAAAACCAGAGGGTTACACCTCACTTGCAGGCACTTATTGCCCCCCCACTTCTAAAACCTTTGGTACTTTTTAAGTTAATTTTAAGGCGATAATTCTGTTGCTTAACTGTTTAATCAATTGATCTATGAAATAGAAAGAAAATAGTGAAAAGCAGCCATCAGAAGTTTCTTCAAAAAGGTTTGTTCTTGCAGTTAACCTGAATTCTATCATATAAGAACAAAAAAGACCAAAGTCCTCACATTTAAGGGACTAGAACCAGTCTTATTTTCTTTTGAATAATTGTTTCAGCTCTAAAATAAATCATTTCCAGAGCAAACTGCCACAACACTGCAGCTACACTGGTAACATTTGCATGAACGTAAAGTAAAATGAAGGCAAACAGAGTTTAGACGTGTGCAGAGCTGCTTTCTGATTAAAAATTGGATTCAGTTTTCCCACCAACGAGGCGCACACACACACACACACACACACACACACACACACACACACACACACACACACACACACACACACACACACACACACACACACACGTACGTGTAATTGACAACTGAACTGAAAAAATGTGACCTGGTTGAAGAGCAGAAATCTGTACTCAACTTCAACACAGAGAACCTGCTTTTAAATGTAGTGCAACATAAAGCACCTTTAAGTGCCTCCATGTTGGGAAGGTGGTATAAAGAAAACCTAAATTTAACGTCTATACATCGAGACAGCAGATACAGCCTATGTCATATCCTGTGGGCATGCAGACTTTGTGAAAACAGGATGTATAGTAGAGCATAAAGCAACAAATAAGGTTCACTTCCATAACAGCAGCCTGGTTCAAACACCGTTCAGATTTATACCCAAAGAGTCTGTAAAGCACCCAGATAGTTACACATCTCATCCAGTGATTAGTTTAGTTAGTAGATTTACACTTAAGAGTTTGTTAAACAGTAGAAACAGTGTTAATTGATCTTAGTTGTGATGCTCACAGAGACTGAGAGGGATCTTAAGAGATAAGGTGTGAAATGGTGTAAACATGAATATATTCAGAGGTTTAAATGGATAACTTCCTTTAACTGGAACTGACTTTAACGTGCAACCAGAGAGTTGCTCTGAGAGCACCACCAATGGAGGGATTGATTATATTTTTGTGGGGGGTGGTTCTGTGTTCAGACAGCACCTCTCTGCGTCCCAACCACTAATAAAGAAACAATCTGATAGATACTCGGTGCGGCCTCGGTATCGACTGACCGACTGATGCCTCATTAGCCCCGCCCGGGCTCAACCCGCCCCCCAACAAACCTAACTGACCCCGTTCACTCTGGAGACAATGACAATTAACTATAAGAGTTTACACTTACATGCAAACCTGGTGTTTTATACAAACCCAGAAAAGGAGGTCAAACATTTTAAAGCAAGAAATATTATCTCTGCTTCGTGTTTTCCCTCCACAATCCGATTAAATGTCACATAATTAAACGCTTTAAATACATTACGCAGCTAAAAATCAAACAATATGAAGTCACCATTAGGTAAATCAACACCACAGACATTAAAAATGCCTTTATGAACTATTTTAGGAGACACCACAGGAGATAAAGAAAAAAAGCCATAAACCACAATAAGGTCACTTTAAACTCTCTTCTAGGCAGCACGCACACTTTAAGTCACTAAAAGGAATATTTTAGGACTTCTACAGTGATAGCAGTGGAGATAAAAATACCACCAACTGGGATAAGGTCACTGTTGAACACCACACACACACACACACACACACACACAACTAAAATAAAACATTAAACTGTTTTCCACAATATCATCTGCTAATCATAAAGGACACAGAAGAATCTAAATTTTCCACAAAATAAATAAATAAACACCATTTCCATTTTTCCGCCTCACAACTTCCTGTAAGTGAATAAGAAAATCTCTCTCCCCCCACCCCCCGGTTTAATTCAATCCTTTCCTTTTCGGTGGTTACTCACAAGGCTGCGGTGTCTCCTGGCTGCCTGGGAGCCCGTCATGTTTGAACAGGAAAACACTCTGCCCCGCTGATGATGCCCATAGAGATTCCCACAACACCAGATTTTCCCAACTCAGAGCCCAGATAACCACAGAGAGACCAGAGAGGGAGACAGCAGGAGGGGAGGGTGGGACAGGAGGGTGGATGGGGGGGGGACTCACTGATCTCAAATCAAGGCTACAGGCAGATACACCAAAAAACCCGGAAGCCACGCATTATCCTTTCAGATTAAAAGCATTTAAACAGCTGCTCTCTCAGAATTCAGGGAGATAATTTTGCTCCAATGCTGAAATATGTTAAAATGCACCTTTAATTCTGTCTATTCTGTTTTATTTGTGTATTAAACTATTGATTACTATCTTGATTGATGTATATAAAGCATTGGATAAAAACTGGGGAGTGGCCATCACAATATCCTAGACCACAAGGTGATGTCGTAATGTACCACATATAAATACAAGACCAAGAAAAGAAGCACATTTAAGAACCTGAACCATCAAACATTTGGCATTTTAAGGTTGAAAAATGATTTAAATAATTAGCCATTAATCAAAACACTTACCACTAAATGCTTTTTATCCAACCAAATTGTTGTTCCTCCCGTTTTCATTATTACATTTACCGGTTCCAACTCTTTTCAGGCTACTGATTCTTTACATTTTGCCCGACTTCTGCCTGCAGAGATCAATAACATTTCACCACATCTTATCACCCTCAGTGCTTTGTTTGAACAGGATCAGTCTTATCTCCAGCTGACTCTCTGCTGCTGCTACCGAGATGAGTCATGAGATTCCCATCGTATCACATGTGGACAACGAGCGGCTGCAGATACACCGACGGGGAGATGGGGAGGAAAGAAAGGGGGCGAATATATGTGTATATATTATATATGGTGAAGATTAAACAAAGAAGGAGATAAGTACAGTGTGAATTTATACAAACCACTGAAATGCTAAAATGCTCAAAAAGATGAGATTACAGCATTAAGAGATTCTACGAAGCAGCTGTGGAGCAGATAAAGTTTTAGGTAAAGTAAATTAGCATCTTAAAGGCAGATCAAGGTAATTAAATATGCATTTCCTGTCACAAGAGTTAATGTTCGATAGATCAGATGATCCACAGCTACTTAAACAGGCCAACGGTTGCGATCATCACTTAATCCTTTCGGTCATTTATCAGGTTAAAATGCCAAACGTTTGCAAAATTGTGAAGATTTGCTGCTTTTCTCTGTTTTATATGGCGGTAAATTAAACATCATCTTGAATTGTGGAAACTTGTATCCGACATTTAACACCATTTTCTGACATCTTGCAGCCTAAGTGGTTAATTCAGTTTATCAAAAAGTAAGCGCCTGATTAATCAGTGCAGTGCCAGTAAATTAACCTGCTTAAACTTAAAACGCTGTTATAATACAAACATTTAGCTTCTCAGATTTCCATCGTTAAACATGTAACTGAGATTTGAACAACTGAAGACATCACTTTGGGATGTTTAAAAACGTGATGGGGGGGATTTTGTATAGATTTTAATGAATTATGAAGCAAAAAATACCCAAAAAAATCCAGTTACAGCTCCCTTCCTCTTTAGATTGTATGATTTCCCGGGTTTTATCTCATTGTTATAAGTATCTTAAAGATTTTGTAAAACATTAAGCAGCATTTAACCACTATTTTCTGTTTTAAAAAAAGACAGATAACTATAATAATGAGAATAATCGTTTGCAAGCTGTAATCAAATGAATGGAAAATATAAAAAAATGATTTTATTATTTTGTATTTGTCGTGACTTTTTAAGTTATCACTTTGGGCTTTATATATATATATATATATATATATATATATATATATATATATATATATTTCTGTATGTTAAAAAGTTAGAAAACAATAAGATTAACAGCTTTGTCGACATCCCGCGTTAGAGATTAGTTTAATTTTGAAAATCCTGACCGGAAAGCTACATTGTCGCTGCCTTGACAACGCTCCCTCAGACCGGATGTTCTGTTAGTCACGGAGGGGGTGGGACTAACGATGCCCATATTTGGAAGCTGAACGGTTGAAACCTTTGAGTGACAGCTGGAACAGCCAATGGCGAGCCTGAACACAAACTACTGTTGCCTGCCAGAACCAGCAGGCAAAGTACTGTAGTTTGTTCGCGGTTGGGCCTAAATACCCCGACTACATCCTAATTACCCCCTCAGTCACATCAAAACTTATCACCTGGCGATACAAAAACACAATTTACATGCAAATAAATCCGAAAATAGCCATTAAAATAAAAATTAAAGGGCGTGTTTGGCGTAGAGGATACGCTTGTTTACGATTTACCAACAAAGTGTAACCCCTGTGCTCTCATCCTGTCCGATAATACAACATTAATATGAGCTCAATACACACCTCTCTTTATAAAAGAAACGTATTTATAAACACACACACACACACAAGCAAAGTGCAAACAAACAACCCTTTTATACTCACACTTTCCGTCACCTTCTCGTTGACGGTAGGTAAAGGAGTTTTTGTTGACATCTTTTATTCGTCCTTCTTCCACCAGTCGCCGTCCACAAATCCACAAAATACAAATAAAATAATAATAAAAACAACCCTTCTTCAGTCCGACAGAATTAAAGTATTGCTGTGCTTTGCAGCTCTCTCCGGAGGGAACTGTCTCAGCATGGATCGTGACTGTTTCCAAAAAAAAAGATCCAGACCGGACGTGTTAGAGCCGAGCACCTGAACAGAAATAATATATATATATAAAAAAAAAATAAAAAATAAAAATCCCTATAATAACCTAATCGATATCTTACATGGCGCGTACATACCGTTCATGGCCTGTGTTTCAAAAAAAAAAAAAAAAAAAAAAAAAATCAGTGTCCGTCTGTCCGTTTTTGTGTTTGAGTCAGTGAAGCTAACTAAAGTAAAAGGCGCTGTCGGTCGCCACTTCCACAAAGAACAACTGTCTCACAAAGCGGCCGCCATGGCGTCGACTGTCACCGGTCCGTGTGTCCGAGGGGGGGGTACAGGGGTCGGGGAGGGTGGGGGTTCAGAAAGGTTTTCTTTTTAGGTGGCTGAAATACTCGCCGTCGACTCGGTTTCTTCCATCTCCGACGGCCCGAAGTGAAGCTGCTCTGTCGGGGTTAGGTGGGACCAAAATGGCTACTCAACGGCTGGGCTGGATTAAGCTGCCTTCACGGACCCCTCCCAGGCTCCGACGTCAGAGTGCTATCGTGAGCAGTCGACACAACGTTAAAACATTTGCTGCTTTTCTCCTGGAACTGAAATCTCTGATTTTTCTTAAATAACAAAAAAACAAAATAGTAACACCTTACTGAGTCAGTATGAAAAGGTTTTTCCCCTGAAGCACCCTGTTTGAACTATCTATTATTATTTATGTCACCAGATTGTTATTGTATATTTTGTAGTTTTGTACATTTAAATTGTTCAATAAAAAAAAAAAAACAACGCAAACATTGTGAAGCGCGGTGTTTCAGTTAGTTACACAAAAATATGGGATTTATTACTTATTATTGGTGATCATATTACTTCCCCCGGTTACTAGTAGTGTAACTAATTACTAAAATATTCAACAATCCTTGGATTTATTTTGTAATCGTGGAGGAAACTAGCTTTAGAAGATGTAAATGGAAATATAAACATTACTTTGATTTTAACAAACAAAACTGGATTTTTTAATTGTGAAAAGTCTGAATTTGTGGGTAGAAGTGGACACTTTTGTGGGGACTAACAGAGAAGTAGTAGAGTAACTGATTACTTTTGGTGGGGAGTAATAAATAAAGTAATGTTACTTTGGAAAAGAGTGAATAATAATATGTAATACATTTAATTTTTTGAGTAACTAGCCCAACACTGTTGATTACTCATTACTCTTTTCAAAAGTAATTATTTTACTTATTCAAAAGTTTTCATATTTGCGGATATCAGCTGACAGATACACCGATAATAATAATAATATACATAATTACTGTTTATATACAGAGTAATCATTGGCATTATAATGTGGCTATTACTCACAAATCATTGTGACAATATTATAAATATAATTATTACTGCTACATTAAAGTGATAAGTGAAATACCTCCTTAATTAATTGGCTATTTTTATCATTTCTACCTATTATTCATTAAAAAGGATTATATTTTATGTTTTCCAGAGCCTGAGCGCAATCCTACAACCTGTCAGGGTCAATCTAACCATAAAATTTAACATGTAACTGAAGTAAGGAATAGGTTTGTTTTCAGTGTTTAATCACATGAAGATGAGAATTGTTGTTTTGCTACCTTAGAATGAGCTCCTCTTCGGTCCCTGAATGCAGCACAACTCCTTCACACTGGTCCTTTAAAGTATCACAAGTAAACGTACTCCTCCTTTCAGTGTTATATTATTATACAGTATTATATTATTATGTTTTTACCACTGATGAATACACGTGAGAGTATTTTAATGTTATTATATATAAGCACATCGTATGTTTTCTTTATGTAATAAGTAACTTTTAAGAGTCAAATAAATGTAGGAAAATAAAAAGTACAATATATTTCCCCAGAAATGTGGAGTAGAAGTAGAAAGTAGACTGTTAATATAATATACTAATATTAATATACTACAGTATTTCTGTTGTAAACTGATATTCAATATTAAATTCACAGTTATATAAAACAGTAAATTCTCACAGTGGATAAGTTGGAGAATGTTTTTAAATTATGACCTGATTTTTGCTGCTGAGTCACTTTCTGTCATTTTATTGTTGCAGCTCAGAATCAATTAACTTAAAACATTATGACACAACAGTTTCTAGTTTTATTGAAGTTATCAGGAAATAAAATCAGTTTATTCTTTTATTGATTTATTTGAGTAAAGTTACCTGAACGAGTTTAGAAAAATCATTTCAGTTATTTTTATTTACTTATTACTTATTTATCAGTGATGTATTGATTACTAAGAAAACTGTGCAGTTGTTGAAAACATAACTAATAAAGTTACAGAAACACAAAAAACAGAAATAATATAATCAATAAAACTAATAATAAATCTCTTAATGGGGTTGACTTTTAGATTTTTCTGTTGATTTTTCTGTTACTTATTGGACTTAAGGTCAATTCCAAAATGTCACAGAAGCAGTTATTGATCGAGTTTAAGCCAGCATCAATAATAGATTTAAGTGGTTATTGATCAGGACATTTCAGTAGTCTCAGTATAACCTGCTGCTTTTACATATCTTCTATCTAAAATCTTACATAAATAAGATTATTAACAGGTGGTCGAGGGGTCCAGGATTCAAACCTGATCAGAAAGATTTCTGGATATTGGGGTTTACACATATATATATATATTTATATCACACATGATGCTTTAAAGCTGTTTCTGATGTTTCTTAGACTGAACTGGTGTTTAAACACTAAAATGAAAGACATTTATTATCCACCAGGAACCTGAAACCACCATCAGTCTGCACAGGATAATATATAATTAAAAGGTGAATTTAAGAGATTAAATGTGCAATTTTGTGCTTTTTTATTAAATAATCAGACAGTTATAGAAGTCTGTTTAACAGCTAGTCAACAATCTCTCGTCTGGGTGGTGTTATGTTGGTGGAATTAGGACTCCTGATTTGTAAAATCCTGGATATAATCCTTTTTAAAGCCTTTGTGTGTGCTCGTTCTCCCTGATTTCACTCAAATTGCCTCTGATTTTGTTTTTTAAATCATGCCACAGTAAGTTGAAAACAGTTGCCAGTAAGTTCATACACTAATACAGCTCCAAATATGCTCAATACCCACTGTCAGATTGTGAGGATTGTTCTCTGAAAGGTTGACACCAATATTTCCGACGGCGTTTGAACGCAGCATGAGTGTGTCCAGCTGAAGGAGTGGAGGAAGTGAGGAAAGGAGCTCAGTCCCATTGGACCGCAGAGGACCGAGGGGAGGAAACCTCTCTGTGGGGACTCATCTGAGCTTCAAAGGGAAACATTTCTTTATTTATTTCACAATATCAAATATTAAAAAGGGAGAAAAACACAGAAAAACTTTCATTCTTTCAATGAAACTGTGACTTTAGGACGATATTAAACACAGTGATGGAATGTAACTGAGTATATTTACTCAAGTATTGTACTTAAGAACAAGTATGAGTATTTTATTTTACTACATTTACAGATTTAGTTACTTTACTGATTCATATTTTGCACATTTTGAACAAAGAGCTTATAAAATGTGATGTTTAGTTATAAATTAAACTACCTAAAAGTGTATAGTCAGTTAATCAATTAGTCAATTTACAGAAGATTAATTCAAGTTTTAAGTATCTCAAGTATTTTCCATATTCGTTTAAGTAATTTTTCATTAAAAAAAACCTTTATTGGTTCCAATAATTGTAATATATTTGTACTAATATTGTGGTTTGGGGCTGTTGGTTGCACTGTGCAGCATTGTGAGGGCATTTCTCACTATTTTAAGAAATCAGTTGATTAATAGAGACAAATAATCAGCAGATGAATCAATAAAGAAAATAATTATTAAAGTTCTACACAAAATAGTTATATAGAGCTCCACCTCAACCAGCTGTAACAGTAAAATCATTTTTCATTAAAGCAGGAGTCATAATAATCTACTTACATATAACAGAGTGACAGTGTGGCATTATACTTTTACTTAAGTACATTTAAGATCTGATTATTTCCTCCTTTAGTGAAACAATCAGAAGTTCTACAGTTAACAAAAAGTCTTTTTGTATCCAAACAACAACACAAAGAGGATTAAAGTCATTATTCTCACTTTTATCTCAGAACTATCGTATAAGTCAAACATATCACTGGATACGTTTTGTCTATTTCCTGTTTAAATTACCTTATACGTCCAGATTTTACTACAATTAAATGTCTCAACTACTTTACTTTGTGGTCCAAACTGTCCTGTAATACGACCTCATTATATTCACCATTTATTTAACTTTTATCTATAAAAATGTAAGAACTTATTTTAAAATCCTGTCAATTAACAGCTGTTATTGTTCTACAGAAAATCTGGTTGTTGGATGATTAAACTTTCAGGCTGTCGTTAGCAAACAAGGTGTTGATTTGTGGATTAATCTGATATTTATGGCCACATTATATAATTCATCTTGTCTTGAACCACAAATAAATCTTATAGAAGAGAAACTGAATTCATGAAGAATCACAGATCGGGCGGCCACGTCTGAAAGTTAAAAAGTATGACTAAGCATTTATATAATCCTTCAGTTTCTATATATAAGTGGAAAACGGCTGCAACTAGTGATTATTTTAATTATTAATGAATCATGAAGGATATAATATAAAGCCTGGTAACAAAAAAGACAAAGAAAACCATCAAATGTTGACATTTGAGAAGCTGGAAGCAAAGGATTGTTGGTGTTTTTGCTTTAAAATACATATAAATTAATTATTTAAGCTCTAATTTGAAAGCTTTTACTGTCTAAGACTAAAACCTACTCTTCTCTACAGCCACCCATTCATCATCACACCAAGGAGATTAAAGGGAGCATCAAACACAAACAACCAAGTGTGGTGGATAGCAAAACATTCATTCTTTTTATTGACTGGAAAAATACAGGGACCAAAAAAAAAAATAAAATAAAATGTGCAGTCGAAATGATCCCCAAACACCCATGATTAAAATCCCCAAAGACTTCATTTCATCAACTGAATACATCTCAAAATTAGAGTTAATGTGCAGCAAGTAAAGCGCTATGTTAAGTCATGCCACAAAGCAGAGGAGGGTTGTGGGTCGGGGGGGGTTGGGGGAGAGGGAGGGTGAGTAAAGGAGGGAAAGGCCAGCCATTTAGGTCGTACGGGGCATCGTGAGTCAAAGCCACAACACAAGGAAAAGCGCCGTCGTCCTCCGAGCCTCTCAGATCGCATCAATGTCAATGTCGTCCTCTTCCTTTTCAGGCGTGTCGGGTTTCACAGTCTCCACTTTGAGCTCGCGGGCAGAGGGCGAGTACACCACCTGAGGACGGGAGACACAGCGCGCTGAGCAAGACGCAAACACTAAAAATCGGCTTTACATTTTATCCTCGATGTCCAGCGGAGGTTACGGACCGCAGCTGCAAGGTCTGACTGACACCGAGGTCTCTAAGTATTCATCTTCAACACTAGTGCTGAGGA